AATTCTCCAGATATACTTTCCCACGCATACGAAGTCGCGGATACGGCATAAAACTGAAATTAGATATCAATACAAATACGAGAAAGTACAAATAGAATATAATAAAAAAATTAAAATGTATTTATTGTAGCAAATAGTTTAAGAAAATTATAGTGTACGGTAATAGTCGCGGTAGTTTAAAAAATACTGAAGTGCAACATACCTTCAGGTAGCAAATGTTATGTTCCTTATATATTATTATCATTATCATTTGTAACTTTATTTGAATTAACAGAACAAAATTATAATTCATCTTATTTAATTTTTGGGTTTACATCAATATTTAATTTTAAATATGAGTTGTTTATTGAGTTTTGAAAATTTATTTACTTTCATACATGAAAGAAAACCAAAAGGTTTGTTATGGAGAAATCAAGAAAGTACGAGCAACCAATAAGTTGGCTCATCACTAATAGTGACATATAAACCAAATATTGTTCCTTTACATGTAACATAATAAATAACATAAACTTACGATTCAAACTATTTTTTGATTAACTTTTATAATGTTAGAAAGAAAAATTGAATGAATATCATAGACAATTATCCGAAAATCGCTAGTGACATCATTCGATTACAAGAACTATTTTTTATATTTTAAATACTTCCTCATTAGGTAAAAACAAATCTATGTAGTTAAAAAGTTTATAAAGTTGAAAGATTGTTCGCCGAATATTTTTGCTATTTACATTTTGAAATCAATAAACCAAAATATTATTTTCCAATATTTGTAGTCTGTGTCTCACGTCAAATAAAGCACCAATGACGTCATTTGCAAATAAATTGGTATAAAGTAAAACGATCAAACAAAAGCGCGGGAAACATTCAATGTGCTAAATAATTTATAATATATTATTAATAATATACACAGGGGTCAATTTACTGCAGATGTTTTTTTTCACTGAAGATCCCTTTTATGTACTTACAGATGACTTCACGTTCACTTCATTTGCCGTTTACGGTCTTTTCAAACGGCTAAATTTTAAGCATAATTTTGGCTACATAATAAGGAGAAACCTTATAAAATAATGTTTTTATCGTAATGAGACCCCATAATGATTAATTTAAAACAATTTTCAGAAAATCCGATCCCATATAATAATGGTTCTCCTTTAATTAGAGTCCGATCTACGTTGGAATTATATAAGTTATATCTACTCTGCTTAAATGAAAATTCACATTGCGCTGTATTAGTTGGAACTTGTAGGCACAGATTTCTCAACATCTCAGCTGCTAGAAGAGACGGTCACTCATGTCTACCAGGATTGTAAACGAATCCCTGAATTCAGCTTTCTCTATATATTTTGGTGGTTAAACTAACTAAGCTACTAGGCAAGCAAATCTATAAAAGCAAAATATATCTGTATAAAAAGAAAAATTATAACACATAACATATCAGTTTCGTCTAACTTGGGTTTAAAATAGAAATTAATCTAAGAAAAAAAGGGGCGTTTATTATTTTTATAACATTGTGAACTGATTTGTGAAACAAAGAGTTATTGTGTACAATAATTATTCGGGGAAATTGAAAATTGTTCCATAAATTTAACTTAAAAACACCAGTTTTTTACTCCAGACACTCCATGGAAGTTTGTTTTCTCCAATCTGGTTAAGCAATAACGGCAGATGTCTATTGAGCCGAACTCCGAACAATGTTGGCAAAACTAGCAGTAAAACAAGCCCGACTCATGAATCGATTCGATTATTGCTCCATGACAACGCAAGACTTCTACAGCACGAGAAACCGCTTTGACCCTTCAGGTACTGCAGTTAGAAACCATTCGTCATCCTCCGTATTCGCCAGACCTTGCTCCAACGGATTACCATTTTTTTCGTGATTTGGACAATTATCTACGTGACAAGCAGTTTTCTTTCCAGGAGGCAGTACCAATTGCTTTCACACAGTTTGTGCAGTCTAGATCCTCAGAGTTCTATTGCAAAGGCATAAATGACCTTTCTATTAGATGGTAGTAATGTTTAGATAATAATGGTAACTATTTTTATTAAATAAATTTTTAAGTTAAAAAATAAAAAAAAATGATTTTCAGTACAAATCGGCAATTTCATACTTTAATCCCTATTATGTATACTATTTTCATATAACACAGAAATTAAATCATCATAATGTAGATGTGTAGACAAGGATGTCTGTCTTCTAACAACTGCATATCTAATATTAAATGTCATTGGATGTTTTTTGCGGGAATGACACACGGTGTCCGGTTTAATTTAGGTTGTTTTTGTCTTTTTTAGTAAGTTTTCGTTCATATAAATTATCTTATATTGCGCGATACGGAGTTATGGAAGTAAGTAAACATGAAATAAAAAGATTATTATTACCAATGACTTGATCCCTTTCCCTGAAACAAAATAATGTGATATGTCACGAAAGCACGAAATAATTTGGGTTGTAGTGTTGGGATATACTACGTAAAGATACTAACTTCACCTATCCCCTTGTATTATATATATTTGATTCAAGTACCCTTTATATAAGCAGTGTAATGGTTCAGCGAGAAAAATATCGTGTTGCTTACCTCTGTCGAAGATTCCTTATGCTATTGTACACCCGCTATCTTTCTCGGTCTACCAAATAGTGATTCTGAGTGAAAGAAAAGGATAGGGCAACGGAAAAAGCATTATCGTGCCCTTGATGTAGGGTGTAATTTTCGAAAATAGTAGCTGAATCAATTATTTAAATAATTGTTATAAGTACCGCCTAATATTTTATTATACCGGATACGTGATACTATTATATTTCTCTATGGTTGCTATCGATGTTACTATCGATGGCTGTGACGATGCTAGTCTTCTCGCTATCGATTATTGTGGCGATGTTAGTGCGATGAGTTAGATGTCGCTATGTATCAGTCGCCACAGTTTGTTTCTTTGCTATGAATGTGACATGGGTCAATGTCACTAAAGTAAATGTCTTCTTCTTCTTCTTTTATTAATGTCTTATATGCGCATTTCGCACAATTCTGCCAATGTCAAGTGAATAAATTTTTACATGTAAAATAAAAATGAAACCAATGAAAGATGGCGATTATCCTTCTTCTTTTATTATTGGCTTATCTGCGCATTTCGCACAATTCTGCCAATGTCAAGTAAATCAAAATAAATGTCACAGACTGTTCATTTTCAAAGAATACGACTGGGATAGTTCACTTTACACTTTGGTTTAGATTTAATATTTTAGTTAGTATTTTAAAAATACCTATTCTCTGATTGTTGGTATTAAATATCTTCTTTTTTGTAATCTTTATTTTCTTCTAACAATTTTAGCATTTTTTGAGAATGACTGGTGTTATTCAAAGAATATGTTCAGTTAGTAAAGTGCATGGTCTCTTTGAATTTATTTTTTACATTTGAATATTTATTGGAATATTTTGCTTATAAACTTATTTTAATTACTGCACAAGATTATTGATACTAAAGACTTTTTAGCAACACAATGAGGAAGTATTTACAAAAAACATTAATTCCCGAAATCAAACTAGATGTCGCTACAGTACTTTCTTGATTTCTTCATGACAACCCCTCTGATTTTCATTCATAGGCATATAAAAGTAAATTAATTTTCGAAAATCAATAAACAACTCATATTTATCTTTTTTTAATTATTTCCTCATTAATGACAATGCAGCAAGGTCTATGACCTTAGCCTGTTCTGAAGGAAAAAACAAATAAATAGTAAATGTCAACATCACGCATCTAGATTGAAATAAAAAGTTTTTATTAAATCGAGTAACTATTATATTTAGAATAGAATTTGAATCACTATTGAAGAAATATAGTGTTATTTATATCGTGAAGTTTGCATTTATAAGACTAATTGTTAACACCTATTTATAATTTACCCGGTAACTGACTGTTTTATAATGTTTATTTCTAAACATTTCACTGTGAGATCAAATCTCTGGCGGAACTATTTGAAAAAAGAGCATTTGAACCAATATTTATTTGTGTCTATACGAAATTGTAACGGTGAGTATATAAGGACATAACCTATACAATGATTGAATTATTGAGTTACTGTATATTTAATATTTTGATACAGTGTCATAATACCAAAAAACTAAATAAACTTACAGGTATAATAATAGCAGATGTCAACAAACAAAACACTAGGATAAATTTTACAAACCAAAAGGGTTACTCAAACAAGTCATTTATTTTTGAACATAAAAAGTTTTACTCCAAAGATCTAAGTCAAGATGAAGTAATAAACAAAAGCGGACAAGGTATTATTATTTTTATTTATGTGTCACCAAATGCAATTCATATTAGTTATCTATCTTAACATATAGATGTAAACTTGATAATCTTTTTCTTATTTTTGATTTATTTAATTTTAAATGGGTAAATAATTTTCACCTAATTCAGGATTTAAAAGGCTGGTTACCTGCTATAAAGGTCATCTAGTACATACTCCAGTCTCTTACGTAAATTACTCAATTGTATCTAATTTTATGGCTTTTAATATGTTATTATATTGTGATATCTGTGAGAGAGAACAAGTTGTCTTATTTGTTTTGTTACAATCCTTTAGAAAAAATAAGCAAAACAATTATGTTGGTACAATTTTTATTTATAGAAGAGTGTTGATTTTTTGTAATTATTTATGTGCAAAGTATGCTTCTCTTGTAACAATTTTATTAATACATTGTTTATTTAATTTTCAGAACTAATATACATATCAAAACTATTTCCTCAACCCAGAGTGACACTCTATGAATTCTCGACTAAAACACCACAGAAAATTTTTGATATTTATTACAAACAGAATGTCACATCACTTAAAGGCAATAAAAAAAAAACCATGCAAGGAGAATGGAGCTGCACATATGCCTTCATTTGGCCAGAGAAAATTAAATTTGAAAGGTAGAAATTTTTATTTTTTATTATCTAATTAAAAAGTAAGTTAATGTAGAGCGATGTTACACAAAATCATTTCAAACATGCTGAAAGTGATTTACATCAAAAGGTATGTTGTACAAACATATTAAAGGAAAGCAAAGAATAATGACAAAAAATTAGGCGAAATGTGCTACCTTTTACCTTATTTTTTGAGTTGTGTAATTTTGAGACTAATTTGTGGAGCCCACAAAATCCTGCATACCATATTTAAAATTCCTGAATATAAATTTTATTATCTTTTTCAATATTAAAATTCTGTGGTAATGCTAGTTATGTAAAGAAACTTATATTTGTTCTAGCACAGCATTGTCAAAACGTCAAGCATCTGAAAAAGCAGCTACAATAGCACTCCATTGGCTGTACATTAATAAACGTATTAATAGTGATGGTTGCCCTGTTTATGATAAAACAGTGCTCGACAATCTACATAACAAAATAAATATTCCAATTGAAGCTTCTCTTAGTGATAATTCAGTGGACAGAATAGAACGGATTTGGAATGATTATAACATAGGGATAAGTATGTAGGTTTGTTGTTCTTTAACTTTTTATACCAATTTTTAACGGATAGGAGATTCAATTTGCTACTAGAGGCGTGAGTGTAGAGTGTAGAGAGAGATTTTCAAATATCAAATAACTTACTTTGTTAGTAAGCTATGCATGTTGCATTTCATTTCATTTCAGTGTTGCATAACTAATTTAGAGACTAGTGTTATTTGGCCGTTATCTATGATATTTTTAATATAATATTGGTATTGATCATAGATAACCTCCAATAGACACCATATGATGACTATTTTGTTAAATAAATAAAGATGCCAATCTTAGCAGTGGGGTAGGTGGTAGACATGTGCGCCGATGCCGAAATCTTCGGCGGCGGCGTGGAGCTAAAAATTCAGTGGCGGCGGCGTAAATGGCGGCGTAAACGGCGTCGTTATGTCAAATGATAGAAAATTCAAAGTTTAACAATTTAAAATGCCTTTATTGGCATAACAAATATAAGAGCTTCTAAAACTAATAACACCTTTTAAGTAACAATCAAATATTGCACAACAATACTCTTCTAAATAATGTAACGTAGTCATAATGATATTAAACAACAATTTTCGGCAATCCATGGTCATGGGTTTAAGTCCCATCTGAGAATGCCGGGACAAAGTGGATTTTTTAAGCATTTTTCATTCAGAATATAATTCTAAACATTTTTAATAAAAACACTTACATTTGACTAAAGTATGTAGGTACTATTTTGTTCGGAAAATATTTGCTATCTTGAAGGTAAGGACATGATCCCATTGCTATAAAGATTTTGGGGCTTCTAATCAAGAAACCGCGACAAGTGGTTTTGACAATACTCGCGTAATATTAATCTGTCACTGTCTAAAGAATTCTGAAGAAACCTAAACAGGTGGAAATTTGAAGGTGCCAAATCAGGACTATACGGTGGGTGCATTAACACCTCCCAGCCAAACTCTCTTATTTTAATGAAAAACCAACCCCCTTCTATTGATTAATTCTGGTCGCTTTCTCTTAACTTCTTGCTTTAATCTCATCAGTTCTTCCCAGTAGAATCCAGAATGGATGGTCCTGCCTGGCGGTAACAGCTCTTAATGAATAATGCCTTTCCGAACCTACCTTACAAACAGCATCACCTTTCTGCCAGTTAACACGGGTTTCGCCACATTCTGTAAAGCTTTGACCACGATTTTTTTGTTCTTGTCGTACGTGATTCAGTTTTTATCACCAGTTATCAGCTTCTTCAAAAATGGTTCGATTTCATTACGCCACAATAAAGAATCACAAAACAGTACACGGTTCATTAGGTTTCTTTCAGTGAGCTCGGCTTCGTCGCAACTACTGATATACCGGTCTTGCTACACTTTTTCAAAAATGGCATCCATTTTATTCATAACAGGGCGACCGGAACGAAGTATGTATATCTTTAACATCAAAATTTCCGGACTGAAAACCCTTAAACCAAATTTGTGCTACTCTCACAGAAACTGCACTAGGATCACAAACGTCACAAATTGTTTTCCCGGGTTCCGTTACATTCTACCTTTTTATAATAAAATTATAAAATGTATCTAATTTCTTTATTAGATTAACTCATTTTAACAGTAAGAAAAAAAAATGAAAATCACACATTTTCCTAATTTGAACTCGAAATCTTTTTTCAAATTTAAACTTTTTAATGATGCCGTAACCAGCCACATAGAAATGGTATAGCCAGAAAGAGTTTATCACAACTTTATGCATACTATATGGGAAAAGACTTTTTCCCCACCCTAAGTTACTCATGCATAGAAATAATTTTATTGTTTTTTTTTCTTTTAATTTTTTAGGGGTTTTTATTCTTAAGAACATGCCAACCCCATCATACTATATTTAAATCTAAATTCATTTTATAACTATATTTCACTAGTGAATTTGTAACTCTTTAGTAAGGCCAGCTACAGAGAATACACGTTCGCTAGGTGTGCTTGTAGCGGGTTAGCTAGAGTAGACAAAAAAGGGTAAGTATTGAATTTATTAATTGTTCAAGATTTCATTGTTGAAAGCTGTAATTAAAGAAGAAAGATTCGATTGTTTATTCGTTTGCATCTGATCATTGACTTTACTTTTGTATCCATTAAAATTTCACGTATTCCACGTATCACGTATTAAACGTATTCCATCCGTATTTCCATATCTAGTAAGATATGGAAATACGGATGGAATACGAAACTGAATTAACCGTAGAGGATGCATTACGTTGCGTATCCCATCTCGCGCCGTTTACGCCGATCTTTATTACCGGTCAGCGGCGGCGTGTCATGATCGGCGGCGTCGGTCATCGGCGCGGCGCGGCGCACACGTCTAGTAGGTGGTGTACGAGGTAATTGCGGCGACGCTATTGGCTAGTACAAAACACGTATTTCGTAGAGATGGGAACCATAATGTGTTAAAAGCATGTCGATATTTGATCGATATTATGAAAATATTACCATTAGATGTCATTAAAAGTATGTTTTATTATATTTATTTAATTCACAATGAATAGCACTATAAACTAATTGATGGACCAGGCATCCAACTGCAAAGTTTCAGTGAACCCGTACGCCTAAAATCACTAACTTTCAATCAGTTGCTGAAAATAACTTTCCAAAATCGATTTTGTACGTTATAATAAGTTGTAATTTAGAATGTTATATATTCATTCCCAACCAATACATGCATTGATAATCCTGATAGAAAAAAATCTGAGTTCCTCAAAAAATAACCATTTTGCATTTCTTTTAGCACTGGTTTACCTGCTACACATTCCAATTTAAAGCTATGATTAATTGCAAACTATACTTAACAATGAATGTTGCTTCACCACGCTCATATAATATTAAGTTATATCTTCCAAAAAGGGGTTAATTTAGATGAAAAATGCAAAAGTAGCAAACATTGGACTTTTAAATAACACACAAGTATTTAAATAGGATGACAATTATTAATGAAATCTAAAACTACATATGTATTGAAAAATCTTAAACTACATAGTTAACTTAGATAATGTTCATACATGAGAAATATTGTTTATTAACCTCAGAATATTTTTGTGTACTAATTTGCACACATAGTACAATTTTTTCCTACCTATACCAATCAATGTTTACGTATGGAAATATCGATATCGATCATACCTAGAAAAAGCATGCAATAGAGGTACTGGTGTTACACATGTCTTTGTCAGAATGAAATAAATATAATTATTAGGTATGAGAGAAAGGAATGGGTTTCAAGAAGACATCAACGTGTGCTGCATTTTTAGAAAGTTACCATTAATTTAACTATAACTTGAACTCCGCGAGATAAATACAAATAAAATTTATATTACTGCTGAAAAGTTAGACCATCGAATCAATCACTTGGCTGTAACTGAGGATTCGTGTACGTGTGTTAATACTTTTGTTAAAATGATCTATGCAGAATCATGTATGCTTGGCTACAGCTTACTCTCTTTCATGCGGCTTCTGTTGGTGGTTATCTGTGTTTATTTATGTATGATTTAAGATTACGCTTGTAGTAAACAAACTGACAGGACGGCTTGTTTGTTATAGATACCTTAAAAACTACTGAATCAATTTTGAAAATTCTTCAGTTATTATAATCTAACATCATCAGCAAGTAACTTTTTTGTTGTTTATGTATTTTTTATTATGAAGAAAGTTGTAGGTATACACTGTTACCTCACATCAGATAAAATCATTAATATTAAATTGTTACAGAACCAATTTATGAAGAGACTTTCAAAGCAGCTGCCATGAAAGATATCACAAGCGCAGCACTTATAAAGGATTCCAGTTTAGATGAAGGTAAGATGTATGCAACTAAAATGAAACCAATAGGGTATTCTACTCTATTTTGTATAATACTAGTAACTGTTTATTTTAATTTAAATAAGCCACAAAACAAATATTTCGGAAAAATAAACACGTTTTACTGCCTTAAAATAAATCACAATTCTAACTGTTTTTACGCTGTCCGCATATTCATGACGTCATTGTGATATGTACACAAAACCTTAACTCTATGCACAAAACAGATGCATAGAGTAGAAGATTTATAGATGTCAATAAAACAAGATCAATGCCATCTAACGATCAATTTAGAAATAAAAAGGTATAATAATATTTATATATCTTTTTATTAAGAAAAGGAATTTGATTTATAATTAATGGCATATTTTTATGACCAATCTGACAGCTGTCGCCACAGTGACGTCACACAATGGCGGGTCGTGTTTTACAGACAGGAAAAAAAACCACTACTTTTTATTTTAATATAATAACATAATCGTGCGATTTTAAGCCTCAAATCACAGAATCTATGTTTATTACAATTTAAATGTTAGTTTTTGTGCAATTCCGTGGCTTATTTTTTACTACCGAAACTCCCCTATTATATTTATGGTAAACAAAAAGTTAACAAAAACTATTTGTAATCACTATAGCTGTGGAATTTAATAAACAAAAGCTATTAACACGCATATTTCAAGTTACTTTTATGTGTCGTCATATATCTATATATGTGTTTACATATATTTTAACGGTATATACTACCAAATTTATATTGTTTGATATAATAAAATTATTTGTTATAGATGATTATTCTGAAGACGAAAGGGAGTCAGAAGCGGACACAGATATTTTTGGTGAGTCTTATTAAAAATTAACATAAAAAATAAAACGACAATATAGAAATAAACCTTAATAATGTATCGAAATTTTCCAATAAGAACTCGTATTAATTAAATAAAGGGTTGATTTTGAGACCTCGTCGACCACCAAAATGAGCTTTAGATTATCTAGATCCCTGGAAAACCGATTTCGACCCCAAGGGATTGACGTGAGAATTCCTGATCAACATAAATTAAATTTATATTATCTATTATGATTTCAAAATACAAGTTTTAGGCGTTCAATAATTTTCGTAAAAATTTAAATAGTTTAAATATGTTATTTTGTTACAGACGGTCAATTGATCCACCCTGTTTACGGCAAAAGGATTGATGCTCCTTCAGCTCAAGCTTTAAAGCGTCGAGAATGGCTACTGAAGAAACATTTCGAAAACTACGACGATGGTCTCACGCCACTACCTATTGATGAATACACGTAAGTGAATAAGATAAAAATATTTACTAAAATTGATCTTCCACAGGGATGTATATTGGGGCCTCTTCTTTTCACATATGAAAAAAGACTAGCTATTTAATTGAAATGTAGTATTAAAGATTGTATTGTAATACATTAGATGTGATGCATAATGGCAATGTGAAGACTACATAATGCGAGGATTTCTACAATTTGGAGGCGATATATTCAAAACTATTATACATATATCTAGTGTATATGAATTTGATAAGTTGTTAGACATTGTTGTCTTTTTATGGTAGTATGTTATGAGGCGACTCTATTCATAAGGAAATAGTCAAGTCACAAATTTAACGTGTGCACACCATTTTTGGGTTGGATTACAAACAACTTTTCGTCAAATTGATATTTTAGATCGCCAATTGTAATAATATAGTTTCAAGCTTTATCGTCTATTACGTTACAGTTGTTGCTCTTAATCTAGATATGGGTATGTATTGTTGTAAATATAGGTTCATCGTCGATGCTCTTATATACTTACTTTTACTATATGTTAATAATTGGTCTTGTCACTCTTCACCATAATTATGATTTGAAATGTCACACAAATATAAAATCTGTACTACCAACACCATCATCTGTACTACCAAAATTAAATTTCGACAAAGTTTTAATGGGACTATTTCAAGAATATACTATTTCATACAAAAAATGTGCAAATAGGATACAAGAAACAGTTGTATTGAAAACCTATTATTTTTTTGAAGTAGGTTTAAAATAAAGTACTGCAATATAATACTAATACTACGCAACCGAAGTTGCGGGCAAAAGCTAGCTTTACATATAGGTAAAATATATAATATTATGAGTGTAATCACTATAGCACACTATTCAATCCATCTTTAGGAAAAATACCTAAACAAAGATGACACTTTTCAATCATCCCTCGCAACCATTATTAGTGCTATTATAGGCTGTATAATATCACGCTATGACTTATAGGAGTGGAGCAGCAATGAATAATGTTGCAAAAAACTAGAGAATATATTACTTTTTCAAAACTTTTCTTGTGTGCGCTGCGTAAACAGAGAAAGTTGCGCAAAAGTCATGTATTACGAAATTTATCCTCTTTAAAAGCTGTTTACGCAGTTGTAGAGGACACCGAGCCACGCCGCGGCGACAGCGCCACCGACGGAAGAACAAAGCAACCTTCCCCTCCGGCGCGGTGCGGGGTCTCGTACCCCCACTCCGATAAATCTTGTTAGATTACCTTTTTAATATATGAGCTAAGTGCGGCAATACAAATTGTAGGTAAGCAATCGAATTTTGTGTAATAAACATGTTCTGCTCTCCGCACGTTCTCCGTGTTCTCCGAACCACTGTTTCATTTGAAACCCCCCACCAATCAGCAACAGTTCCTGGCATCCCGCTTTGATCCAGCATCGCTCAACCACATTTGTGGTATTACAGCTGCACGCTACAGCAGTATTAAATAATATTTCGAACAATTCAAATGGCTACAATCGTTGTTGCTCATATTCAATGCTGTTGTTATGTTGGTTAAATACATGAAAATGTTACATTTAGCTGGCGCTTCTGATCACTAGATGACACTACCGCACTTTTAAAACGGGATTTTGAATTTTGTTATGTTTGTTGTAGTCTTTATTTTTTCCGTTTTTTATCAAACAAATAAGCGTTCGTTTTCAGTTATAGTCAACAGGGAACCCTTACAGTTTCGTCATGTCTATCTGTCTATCCATCAGTCTGCGGTTAAGTTCAAAAACGCTTTGTATTAGAAAGATGTAATTTTTTGCATTTACACCAAACACACCGACAAAGTGGCAAAATTAAATCTTGAAAATATATTTTTTTCGGGTACCTCCCCTACATGAAAAATATCTTCCCATAGTATGGGGTATTGTTGGATAGATCTTTCAAATATATTAGGGGTGTGGGTTGATCGTTTTTAGATTTAGTTAATCGTTCGTGACTTATCAAGCTTCAAAGTCGTTAGAGTAAAATGCCCCCCCTATCAACTAAACAGTTGTTATTAGAGAATTTTCCATCGGACTACAAATATGGGTGACAATATCGGAAAATGTACTAAATTGCCGATAATCATGAACAACTAAAAATCAAAAAAATACTTAAAATGAGCTGTAGGTAAAAACAGTTTTATCTAAAATAGCAACTTAAATCCAATGGATTGAGAAAGCAAGAACAAGTTGACCGTCAAGTTGCTATGAGGATCAAGCGTAGAATCTTGCACAAGCAAAGCATCACGCCGTTTTAAACCCTTAAGATGAAATGCCTTTATCTGAAAGTCCAGAAAAAGTAGTCAAATATCTAAATCCAAGCTAAATGACGGCGTTATTATTAAGACTTCAATAAAAAGACTATTATTTCAAAGAATTTTTTGTATATTTTGCAAGGCGTGTCGATTCTACTGCGCACTTAAATGGAAAGCAAAGCAACTGGACTATTCATATATGAAGACATGCGCGTTAGTCACAGAAACAGCGGTAGATTTTTTCTTGTTTGGTTCCATCTATTGGCCAGGCCCCAGCAGTGATGACGCTGATAAGCTAATGATGATGATATGAAGGTGGATGCTTACTAGCAGATTTTTAATTAAGATTAACTTAATACTCCAGTACAGCAGGCCAGTACACCACAATACCCTCAGACCACGTGGGCGAAGCCATGGGTTACAACTAGTTTATAATAAAACCAAAAAAGTATCTTATCCCGTAATGGAATCGTAGTCTGTGACTGACTTAAAAAATCGATTCAACTGGCCACACTTTAAAACTTTCTATCAATACCACAATAAACCTGATGACCCACAAAATGTTGACCTTGTTACAATGTTCCCGTTTCGTGTAAACGGTGCCACATAACCCTGGCGACGACCCCGACGTCCTCAATACGGGACGCGGTGCGGGATTGTGCCCTTGAGTCCTAGTTACAACGGGCGCGACCTTAAAACGCGACCGATTCTGACCTTGACCCGCGTGCCATGACCTTAGGATGCGGAAACGAGGCTACCGATTTATTCGACGTTCATAGTTGATAAAATTAAATTAGTTGTGTATGATATTAATAAAACATTTGTTTTTTGCAAATGATTACGCGCAGTGTGATTAAGAACCTTATTCATTATGTAAATTCGTAAAAATCCGATATTTATAATAAATATAAAAATATCCGACATTTGATATTTATCCAATATATATCATGTATGTGCGATTTCTGAGCTGTTTGTGCCTTTATTTAATTTTTGGTCTCACAAATCAAAGTGTTAAAAAATAGTATGCGTGCGAGGATTTTCCAGGAACGTATTGGTGAAAACCCGAAATTTCTTGTTACTAAGGTTGCTACTTCGGGCCAATGTTGTCAGCATCACATCGGCTTGGTTCATTTTCTATCTGTGTATCTAATGAGTTGGCAACTTATTAAAACCAATTATGGCAACTATTAAGAGGACGCATATTACTCAAATCGACTGTGAACAAATATATTATCCTACTATTAAAGATTATAAAAAATGCATCTTCATTGAAGGAAGACATTAGCGATTCAACCATGGAGTAGACCAATTATTATTTTTTTCCGAGTTGATGCTTTCTTCCGACCAATACACAATTTTGTGTCTATATTTAACTTATTGACGTGCTTACGACGACTCGCGATTTTCTTTCCATATCTCTTCAGAATTATGCACATCATAACTTTTTCTAGTGACCCTCCATGACGATCGCTCACTCTCAGTTTCACTAAGCGTCATAGATGTTGCATCAAAAGAGCAAGGCGAAACGTCACATAAATGATACGGTCCCTTTCTAATGCTGACGCTAGCAACGAAAGTGCACCAAAAATATGGTTTAGACGTCATTTTTTTCACAACTACTTTAAATTCTTTTTTCATTATAATATCTACACTTTTTACTTTTCCGAGTTATTTGTGGAAACAAGTATTTCATGATTTCCAACAATTTCTGATATTCGGATATAGTGATTTACAAATATGGAGATTTAAAAATGGGAACATATTTATTTCTCACAATCGTAACTTTTTTTGGGAAAAGAGTCACTTCAGTCCAAATTATGGGTTTTTTATTTGTAAAATTTATTTTTCCTGTTGCTATCTTAAGTATTAGTATTGTATTTTAATGTAATAAGTATACTTTTTATATGGTCTGATCCTATTGTATGATTATTCGCACTGTGGGTTTTGAACATGATTTTGACTTTGAATGACGCTAACGGCTTTTTATTCATTTCTTGTGGGTTTCTTAGTTTCACGTCAATAGGAAATATTGAGCGTTGTTCCTTGTATTTGATTTTAATTTCCTTATTTGAACGTTGACATCAATTGTATTTTAAGAATTGTAATCCGGTTTTTTTAATGAAACAAATAGAATGCATTGTAAAGGGATAGGGACGTGTAGGAATACCTCTGTGACGGCACTGGTTATTCTCATTAGCTATATTAGTCAGCGTATTGAGTAAAAATCTGTATTTTGCTTTAAAATAATTCTGACGATTCATTCATAATAAAAGATCGTGCATAATATATAAGCAGAATAATTGGCTTGATTTCTATCTTTTTAATCCAGGCATAGTATCAATATCTGTGCTAAGTGTTTATTTTATTTTTTTTATGTAATGTTCATATTTTTGACCTCTCAAATAGAAATAAGAAATCGAATAATTTTATATTCACGATATTTTGTCAAATTATGACATGAAAATATTCAAGTTTATCATGCGAATTAATAAGTAATATATTTCAGATAGACATGCTATCAGTACCTCCTGTGCTATCCGTCCTCGTTACGTATCAACTACGTCATGGTGACGTTGCGTTGAAATCGAGAGTAACTTGGAAATCGAAAGTGACTTTCTAGCTTTTCGTTGTTGTTTGAGACGTCAAAGTGACGTAAAATGCACTTCGACTTTTGTTGACGTTTTATTTCAGATAGACATGCTTTCTGTACCTCCTCTGCTATCGGTCCTCGTTACGTATCAACTACGTCATGGTGACGTTGCGTTGAAATCGAGAGTAACTTGGAAATCGAAAGTGACTTTCTAGCTTTTCGTTGTTGTTTGAGACGTCAAAGTGACGTAAAATGCACTTCGACTTTTGTTGACGTTATATTTCAGATAGACATGCTTTCTGTACGTCCTGTGCTATCGGTCCTCATTCACATTCACCACCAGCCCTTTTACGTCCCCACTGCAGGGGCTCAGGCCTTCCTTATGGATGGTTAAGGAGGATGGGCCATGACACTCCACGCTGGCCCAATGCGGATTGGAGGGTATTAACGACTGCTAATGCAGCCGGGACCAACGGCTTAACGTGCCTTCCGAAGCACGGAGTAGCTCGAGATAATAATTTTTTGGTCACCCATCCAGTGACCGACCCTAGCGAAAGTTGCTTAACGACTACGATCGCGGGCCGCGGCGATTATCCACTACGCCACCGAGCGTCGGTCCTCGTTACGTATCAACTACGTCATGGTGACGTTACGTTGAAATCGAGAGTAACTTAGTGATCGAAAGTGACTTTCTAGCTTTTCGCTGGTGTTTGAGACGTCAAAGTGACGTAAAATGCACTTTCGATTTTTGTTGACGTTCCCAGAGCGTGCAAATAAACGGCTGATATAGATAGACATCCAAAAAGTGGGTTTTTGGGTCAAGCTCAGTTGTTTTGTTGATTTTTATATTTAATGACTTCGCACGCGTAAATTGTAGCCTATGTCAACCACGTATGATGACGACAAGTTGGCTAAAGAATTTTAAAAATCGGTACACTAATCTCGGCCTATTCGATGCAAACAAACAGACAATCAAATCTTTCTTCATTACAATATTAGTATAGATATAGAAGTAACTTCTTGTTGTTATTTTAATCAATTTTGCGTTCATAGCAGTATCCTCATATTTATCTTAGAAAAATAGGCTAGAAGAAATCATTTGTATATTCAAAACTCGTTTCTGTAAGAAAATGTAGCTTTTTAGGTAATTATTACTAAAAAAAAATGGATTAGATGAATCAAGCAGACTTCAATAGAAACATAAATGATTATTACTAAACATTTTCCAATCCGTCACTTTTTATAAAGCCATCGAATTGGTAAATAGTCATACTTTTAGGACACAGACAGGTCGAAGAAGGTCGGTCAACGATTGGAACCAATTATTAGGAGTTCTATTCTCGTTTTAAGGGACTTCATTTACATCCGCAAACAATTTTTAAGATTTATGACGCTTTTAAGTTCTAAAGGATGTCGCTTTTAACTAATGACAATTTTAATAGACGTTTGTGTTAACTTTGTATTAAAAAAAATGCTTTTAACCAATACTTTGATCTTTTGACAAATCGTTATTGAAGTGTTAAGCATCTCTTCTGCTTGTTACAGAAAAACTATAACATCAACATTAGAGAATTCCCGCGTCGCCATTATTGTAGGTGCAGCGGGATGCGGTAAATCTACGCGTATGCCGGCGGCCATTTTGCGAAGTTGTGGCGTGAAAACCAACGCCATAGTGTCGGAGCCTAGAAGGGTTGCCGCCATAGGTCTAGCTGAGAGAGTGGCTAGTGAATTGGGTGACGAGGTATCGAAGTTTGTAGATTAGCTTATTAATGAGGATCTAGTTTAGACTATTATTAAGAGATGGAAGCGGGAAATGATCATTCAGATGGCCATAGAGAAGCAAAGAAAAATTAATTAAAGAGGAATGTCAAGTTGACATGATTATCTCATTTCTGAAAGAGAGAGAAGGTTCTTAATTCTACGGGAAATTATGTCAATAGATTCATAAAGTAAATTTTTGAAACAAAAAGTCTTCACTGTAAAGTTCTACCTTACGGTGGAATATAATCGTGGCGATAGTAATGCATAAACTGGTATGTCCATATTTATTTATAGTGATTTAAACCTTTAGCGCAATTTAGCTACATTCAAAATCATTTATTTAGTCTAGACTGTGATAGTCTCTATGCCATCGGTTTGTAAATATATGTCCGTAGGTAGACTTTGTACTTATACCGAGAAGAACCGGCAAGAAACTTAGCAATGGTTGCTTATATCTCATTAAAATATAACTTCGCTTTTAGGTACTTATAATTAACGTGATATTTTCAGGTAGGAGGCTTGGTAGGTTACCAAGTAAGACTGCAATCCAAACCACCTCGCCCACCTTGCGGTACTGTGTTGTACTGTACATCGGGTATACTTCTTAGAAGACTGCAAAGTAATCCAGGTGAATACGACATTTAATATTATAAAGTCAACATTATAAGATCATAGCTAATAGAAGTCCAGCACGCGTACCATGACAAAATCGAGTAACGCTTTGCCTACACCAAACGTCACTTTTTTCCGGTCGAGAGTGGGATATCGTATGAGCGCACCCGAATGATATTTGTGTAAAGATATGTCGCAGCAAACTGGTTAAACCAGCCGTCCAATCGGGTAGCTAGTCCTGAATAGCGCCATTCAATTGCACGGCTAAACAATAATACAATACAAAAAATAATTTTAACTCATTAGTTAAGTTCAAAAGAGTCGGGAGTCTTATTGATTGAATAATTGACTTGAACTTCTGAAAGAGATTGTTTGTGATGAAATGAAATTGTTTTTATTCAAGTAAGCTTGTTACAAGCACTTTTGAATCGTCCAAAAATATTTTTTCCCCTACCACTTGTTCAGAACGTCTTTTAGCTGACAAGAAGAACAAGCGAAAGAAACTTACCAGCTTTTTATCATAAGTAATGACATTTACATAAATCATGTCATTACCAAAATAATACATATATTGAACAATAATAAATACAAGTTTCAAAGTCTGTAGGACATAGGTTGGTATACATACCTATAATTAATCGTTTTAGAACAGAGCGAAGGCTATTAATTCCATGCATTGCGGTCCTTAAAATAATCAACAACTTTATAATAGCCTTTACTCATAAGTATATTCTTTACATGAATTTGAAATTTATTTATGGGTAGGTCAATTACATTTTGTGGAACGTTATTGAACATAGCAATACATTTAACCAGAAATGATCCTCTGGTTTTTTGAAGTCTGGAACGGCAAGTTTATTTTTATTTCTTGTGTTAAGATTATGAACACTACTTTTTTTGTGAAGGAATCGTAATGTTTTCTTGTGTACATAATATTCTCATAGATGTATTGAGAGGCAACAGTCAGAATATTTATTTCTTTAAATATTTCTCTGAGAGATTCCCTAGACCGTAAATCTAAAATATACCAATCTTGCCGTTTCAACATTTGTCAAGAGTCTAATTTTCTTAACAGCAAAAGCTGCAGAACTCAGTCTACTTGACAAGCTATCAATACGAGGATCCCATTGCAAATGTCATAATGGGCGAAGTGATATACTATATGAACGTTTTGGAAACTTACAAATGAATATATAAATAAATTAAAATCGGCCGTTTTGTTGAACAGTGCAACTATAAAACTAGGTGTGCGATTAAATGACACCATTCAATTAAAGAGCTTGCCGCCCAAATGGACGGCTGAAATAACCAGTTGGTTGCGACATATACAACTTCTCGAGTTCGTCATACTACGCGTGCTGAATATAGAAGAAAAACAAACTATTTTCTAAGAATTTAATTATTGATTCAAACAAAGCCAATGTTGACTTTTATTTAACAGGCTTCACTATTTTATCTGTTAAGTGAAGTTATTACATCCAAACCTCTCTTAACTTTATGTGATGACAACTTGTTTTTATTTATAATGATTTAAATATAGGTTTAAATGGATGTAGTCACGTGATCATCGACGAAGCTCATGAGCGAGACGTCAATACGGACATAACGCTACTACTGTTGAAGCGAGCGCTTGATATTAATCCTGAATTAAAAGTTGTCATAATGAGCGCCACCCTTGATGTAGGCGTGTTTAAAAGGTAAAAAACATTCTTTTGCATACTTTAGAATTATATTAATAAAAAAAAAACCTATTTAAATATATGATGTTTATGTATATTATGTACTAGTGGGCGCCAGCGACTTCGTCCGCGTTTTCCATTATTTCTTCGCTCCTAATATTTGCAGCGTGATGTTATATAGCCTAAAGCCTTCCTCGATAAATGGTCTATTCAACAAATAATTTTTCAATTCGGACCAGTAGTTCCTTAGATTAGCTCGTTCAAACAAACAAACTCTTCAGCTTTATAATATTAGTATAGATGTTAAAATGTTAGTCTTGAACTCGATCTAATAAACCTATTTAGAGTCATCTTTGCATCTTGCAATTCTTTTCTATCGAACCAATTTTTCAAAATTATGTTTCTGTTTTTAGCAAACAATCAAGCATATGTTTATAAGCATATATTTGGCTATTATTAGCATAGCTTTAGAATAAAATTGGTTTAAAAGTAGTCATTTCGTACAACCTCGCCTTAAGCAAAAGGATTGGTGACCAAAAAAATATTATCTCGAGCTTCTTCGTTTCCAGAAGACACGTTAAGCCTTTAGCTCCGAATGCATCTGCAGTCGTTAATACTTACCAACTCACACTGGTTTTGTTTCGATTTTATCCACAAGGAAGGCATGAATCCCAGCTACGGTTGCCAGATGATCGGGATTGGTCTGGATTATTCCGACTTGTCAGAGGATGTTCAGAATCTCGAAAAAGAAGGAAATGTCCCGTCAAATTTTAAATAATTGATCAAATCATTAAATTGCTCAATCAATCGCTCGGTAACGGCTGAAAAAACCCTACCCATCTGGCAACCCTAGCCCCAGCAGTAGGTACATTAATTGGTAAAGAGAACACAACATCTAGACCCGAGACAACATAGAAAAGCTCATTTTATATATAGACCCGACTAGAAATTGAACTTAGGACCTTAAAAGATGACATCTTGATGGTAGTGTGTGAGCCACTCGGTCACGGAATACCAATGAATTCGCATAACCTTTCTCAGATATTTTCAAGAATGTCCCGTTATAGAAGTGCCGGGAAGAACGTTCCCTGTTGAAGTATCGCATCTGGACGATATCATTAGACTATACGACTTAAACCTTTGTAATACAGCCGAGAATTGCAAGAAAGAATACGGTAGACATGTAGTTAATTGTCAAGAGGTAAGTTGTTTATTTTTTTGTGTAATAACATTAACACTGCTCTAAAATATATTAAACAGAGTGCGCCGGTTTTTTACACCAGAGCAACGGTGTTATATAAAACCCAGGTCAGGTCTAGCATGGAGTACCGTTCGCATCTTTGGAATGACTCTGCAAAGTATCTGTTGGATGCCCTGGATAGGCTGCAGCGACTAGCAATACGTATCATAGACGATTAGGTTCTAACCAACCATCCTGAATCACTGCAAAGCGGCGCGATATTGCCTTACTCAGTGTCGTCTATCGTCTCTATCATTACCTGTTTGTATACTCCATTCATTAAAGCATTAGACAGAAGTTAAATAAGGTCCTTTTTATGGTATACTTTGTGACAAAATATTAACAATCATGTTACTCTTAAGACTGACGGCTTATTTGCTACATATCCACTTAAATACCAGCTGCTATACTTAACAGTAGTCGTTTAAGCTATCTGTTAAACAATATTATGAGTATTTGACTAACTTAAAAGATTTATAATAACTTTTATAATAAAAAGTGTTCATTTTAAAGAATCTAGAGAAGCAGGGTTGGCTAGTCTCGGAACGATTCTCATGTCACTATAACTCTACCAAATTTAAAACGTTGCCTAATCCCCTCAAACGTTTCAGTAGTACAGTTTTTTTAATTATGTCAGATTATGATGTATTCATAATAGTCAAAATATGTAATCTGGGATTCTCATTAATTGTAAATGTTATTGCCTTTCTCGTTGTTTTTCCGTATTCCGTGATTGAGTTGTTATTGTATTATTGTTGTTTTCTTATAGTTTTGTTTTAGTTGTTATCTTTTTGTTGTTAAGTTTTGCTAAATATGGACGATTCCGGTGCAGGTCCGAATGGCCTATAACAATTACCTCTGACATTTCAGGAAGTTTTTTTAATATCTTAATCAATAATCTAATAATATCTGAATAAATGTTATAAACGTAATAATAATTTAATTTTGTTTACCTTTCTTTCCTGGGCATAAATATAACTAAATTCTATTCTAATTATACACTTACAATAAGAATTTATCAAAACAACAGATAGATAGTTATAGTTCCATATTGGCTTGGGAGTAAAAGATGAATTTAAAAAAGTCTAGCCTCATCGCAAAAGAAAATGAAACATTTCCCAACTCTTTAGGACTACCTAACGTTCAAAGTTTCAACAAAACTATCATATATATTTTTAAAATTTATCTTGAAAATAAAATGTTCTGCACTGCTGCTTCTGTGATCCTCTTTTTTCTAATGTAATAATGAATGGAGTATAGTCATTTGTGTTTTTTTTTTCTAACAAGTCAGTTGATAATATGTTAATTTTTTCGTAAAGTAAAAAGTTTTTCGTAAAGTAAAGTAAAGCTAAACAAATAGAATAAAATTGGGTAACATAGTGGTAATATCGTATAACCGCACCTTAAGAGAATGTCTTCATTACCTTAGTATAATTTAGCGTTGGAAACTGTTTTTGAATAACCTTTTTAACTTCCTCATTCATGTGTAACATTAACAGCTGTTTGTTTATTTTGATAAATAAATATTTGCCGTACTATTAAAATATGGAACAGTCTCCTATCCCACGTGTTTCTACTTAAATATAATCTTGGGTCCATCGAAAGAGGTATGAAAAGGCTCCTTAACAGGCCGGCATGTGGTGTCAAGATGTGAGTAGTTTCGACTTCTGACAGCTACGACTATTATTAGACTGTAATATCACTTCCCATTACAGTCACTTTGTCGTGCAACAATAAAAAAATATAAATAGAGATAGATAAGTCAAAATAAATTATCTAATATTTTATTATTTAGAACTATTGAAGTTTTTCAAGTACAGAAAGAATATTGTTGCTATAAAAAAAAATCTGTTTCTGTTATTTAATAAATATTTTCTGATTTTCTATTTCGAAAAATATCCAAAAACAGTTTTCATAATAAAAAAAATTTGCTTTTGTACATTATACAACAAAAAAAATAATTTGGTAGAATTTGTCAGAAAATCTTGTTCGATGCAATTGGTAACGCATTTATTCCCTCTGAATGGCGTTTATTTATCGATAGATCCACAAGAAGCTTAAAAGTAGATCTTCGTCATAATGGAAATAAATTTCCATCTCTTCCTCTGGCTCATTATGTTATGTTGAAAGAAAATTACGAGAGCGTTAAAATGGTGCTTCAAGCTTTAAAGCATGAAGAGTATGCATGGGCATTGATAGGGGATTTCATGATAGTTCGTTTCCTGGTAGGAATACAAGGCGCATGCACAAAATATCCGTATAACCTTTGCTTATGGGATAGTAGAACCGATGCAATTCACTACTAGCAGCAATCATAGCCCTCAGGAAGCGAGTTTCAAATAGGAAAACATAAGAGTTAAAAGTGAACCAATTGTTAAGACCGAAATTTTCTTAAAAAAAATATTTCGTTCTCATAGCTAAAAAAGCAAACTTTTTTAGAAAAAATAAATTAATTTGTCATTTATTACTTACGCATAAGTAACCATTAAAAATAAAATAAAATAAAATAAAATAAAAATAAAATCTAATGTACGGAACTCAGAAACAAAATTCGTGTTGGCCGGTGTAATAATATACAATAAATAAATTGTTTTAGGTCGCTGAAGTGATAAAAGCGGTTGATACCAAAGAGCCAGAAGGCGCAATACTAGTTTTCCTCCCGGGATGGGCTGATATTAAAACGACTAAACAACTACTAGATGAACACTATGGAAACTCTACTACACACATGATACTGCCGGTTCATTCCAGGTAATATGAATTTTACGATCACCTCCGCAGGCCATTTCTGCTAATATATAATAAAATACAATCTCAATTACTATCCAACGTACTATCCTAAAGTACCTCACACATTTATGATGGCAGGTAAATAATAATATTCCAAAATGCAAGTAGTTCAGATTAAGCAGAATTGAGACTAGTTATTACAAAACTGCCAAATGTCACTATTTTAATCCTTAATACGTTAATACTAGAGTTCAAAATTAGTAGTATAATTTTGACATATTGTGGTAACCCGATGTACTGCTGTTTATGCGTGTCGGCGTCCTCTTATTTTTTAATGTTTGATTTTTGATAAGGTACTGGCGGCCGCATAATACGCGGGTTTGATAACCGCATTTACTTTAAAAACATAACATTTCATTCACAAACTTGTGTTTTTCTTAGAGGATAAAAAACAAATCCAATAAATTTGTATAAAACATATTGGGTTTATATTATAATAAGTAATAGCTGTTTATCCGTAACCTTGCCTGCGTTAATATTAGCCTATCAGAGGAAAGAGAAAATATTTTCCTTTATATTTTTACAAATTAACCTTTCCTCTTTATAATTGAATTGAAATGAAAATGTTTTATTCAAGTAAGCTTGTTACAAGCACTTTTGAATCGTCCAAAAAAAAAAAATTCCATTTTGACGTCTTTTAGCTGACAAGAAGAACAAGCGAAAGAAACTTACCATCTCTTTATCATAATTACATTTACATAAATCATGTCATTACCAAAATAGTACATATATTAAACAATAATAAATACAACTTTAAAATTTTTTGTATAGATATGTACGCATACTCGTTATTTGAACTGTACTATTCATCCGAATATGAATCACCCATCTCATCTCCTATTATTTCAGATTATCAACGACGGAACAAACAAAAATGTTCGCTAAACCTCTGCCGGGCATTCGTAAGATAGTTCTAGCGACAAATGTGGCCGAGACTTCTATCACCATACCGGACGTGGTTTATGTCATCGACACAGGACTGCATAAAGAGAACAAAACTAAAGAAGGAACTGGTCAGTTGAAGTTCTTTAACTAATATTCAGGAAAAAATTGTCTGCCAGTAAATAAAAATGTTGTGTTCACTACTGTAAATAATATTCACGTATTTAAGCTTATAGGCATGCGGGTCCAGTTGACCAATGTAAATGATCCAATACGGCGAAAAAGTTGTCTACATCTAATGTCGACATCGGGAGATATGTAATCTTAATGAAAAAAGCTTATGCCCACCACCTAACGAAATCTCACCTGTTATTTTTAAGCAAAAATTATTTATTAGTTTCGCATTGTGAATGCAAAATTAAAACATTATGAACTACAGACAAAATTCAATTCAATTTATTTCACGAGGCTTCTATGATTGAGCCGATTGCCTCAATAGTTCTGAAGCAGAGAATATTGCTTAAACTCCACATACGTAGACCTAAAAACAATATTGACATATTCATAAGAGTTATAAACAGGCGGTTAAGATGCTATAATTTGATATCTTAAGATAAAATATCGCTCGCCATACATTCCAATGGTTCAACACACGTACGGCTAACATAATATAATATATTAATATTAAGTATCTTAAGATGTCAAGCGATATGGAAATATATATTTCATAGATTATCTTTATTAGATACGAAATGTTATAGCATTACCGGAATGAACACTTGCGTTGTGTTTCGTCGTGTGAGTGAGAGTACCGGAGGCCCAACCCTATTCCCTTCCCTCTACCCCTCAACCCTTCCCTCCCTATGATCATATTGGTCCCCCAAAGGCCGGCAGCGCGCTTGTAGCCCCTCTGGTGTTGCAGGTGTCCATGGGCGACGGTAATCACTTACCATCAGGTGATCCGTATGTTCGTCTGCCCCCTATGCCATAAAAAAAATCGTAATTTTAAGCGTGTGTGATAGCTTATGATATTAAAATATGTTTTTTAAAGACATCTTTTACATAATTTAAGATCAAATGTTAAAGCTTCTTAACCGTCTGTGATGAGCTTAGATGAAAACAATTTGAATAAATATATATTTTATCAATTGCTTTGCTTTGCATTTAGGGACAGCAAGTTTAGAAACATCTTGGATATCGCTTGCTGCTGCTAAACAAAGAACCGGACGCGCGGGACGGGTACAGCGGGGTAAGTTGTAATATTGATATAAATACGGGTGTAAACAGTAGACGAAATTTTTTTTTTTTTTTTTTTTTACTAGCAATATTTAATATACTTTTACCAATATACAGATAGCACCAAATAAAATCTCCTTCAAACTATTAGTTCGTCAATATGAATTAAATTCATCATCCTCATCTGGTTAACCCACAATTTGGTTAGTTATGTATATTTATATAATTATGTATGTATATATTTATTTAAATATATATTTGTTTATGAAATGAAATTAAAAAAAATATATTTATTGAAGTAAGTTTGTTTCAAACGCTTTTGAATCGTCCAAAAAAATTTTGCCCCTACCACTTGTTCAGGAACTCTTTATGAACATTTTTTTTATTTATAATGTTTATTTATGTATAGGATATTATAATATAGTAAGATGTTAATATTTGTCTAATACTGATCTTTTCGCACCGCCTCATATATTATCTGTATACAACTCTCCGGTTGATGGGTGGAGTCCGCTATTTATACTGTGTGCAAAAAAGTTTTTAATAAATAAATAAATAATCAATCACACTTTTATGCTTATTATATTTATAATAATAGAGGTGTAGACAAATTTTTTAAATATTTTTACATTAAAGACATGAAATATATCTAAAAATATATTTTAAAAAGTATTATTCATATAATAAGTTAAAATCTAAAAAAAAAACAATTTCAAATTTTGAAAATGAAATTTATTTATTATATTTTGAATTGGTTTTGTTTAAAATAATTTGTAAAATATTAGATGAAGAAATGTAATTTATTTCTTAGATCATAATATTTCCAGGCCGCTGCTACAGATTATACACTAAAGACAAAGAAGCTGAGTTTGCACCACATTCCACACCGGAAATTCTAAGAGTGCCTTTAGAGCAGACCGTTTTGGATTGTAAGACTTACGCTCCAGACTATAGGGTTGAAGATTTCTTATCGCAGCTACCCGAACCGCCCAGTATGAAAGCTATCGAGTTTGCTGTCAATGATCTCATCGATATAGGTAAATTTGAATAATAAATATACTGAATGTTTTTTTGTTAAATTCTAGTATTAATATAAAATTAATTTAATCAAATACCCATGGAACAGGTTTCGACGAGTTTATTTATTTTCTTTGCTCTGTTCGCTCCTTTACTTTATTGTAATGAAGTTGCTTAAATTTCAACTTTATTGCAATGAAGCAAATGATAACGTAATTTTTAAAAACAACAAAATTAGTAGTTGTGAATCCTGCGAGTGACGCGTCAGTATAACTAATTTTTCAGATGCAGATAGGACTTATTGAAAGCAGCATGGACTCGCTGATATAACCTATCATAGTATTTTGATTTAATATTTTCAAGTATGTTGTTCTTTCTGTAGGTGATAGAATTTTTTATAACGGTCCAGTATTTAACGGGCCCCCCATTTAATGCAAACAATCAAACTTTCCTCTTTATAATATTATTATAGACTGGTGCATAAACAGCTCTATATTATTACCAGTGGTCGGAATTAGGTAGAGTTATTCATGTACTTACACTGATTTCATACAGCGAAAGAATAAAGTGGATATGCCTCAAATCCCGAGATTAATTTTAAAGAGCAGAAAAAATAGTATTCGCTCGTTTTTCGAATTTGCTTAAGACTATCAATAATTTGTATTGTAAATTAATGTAAACTAAAAAAAAATTTATGTTAATTATCTTTGTTTTATTTGTCTATCTCTGACGTTGTTATTATTATTTAGTTGTAAGATTGTTGGCCACACGGGATTGTCCATTAGAAATCCCGGGAAGGTCCACATTAATATCAACATTTCTATGCAAGTACATAAATAACTCTACCTAATTCCGACCTCTGATTATTATACAGCCTAGATTTGTTTCTTCGGAAACATAAAGTTAGCCGATGCCCATTATTTGTAATGATATTTTTTTCGGCTGTTTGGGTGGATGCCTGAACATTGATGAGAATACGCTTTATAGTAGCGAAAAGTAACAAGTGCTTGAAAGATTCGTCAGTCCTGTAGGTCCTGGGTAGCTCGGTGGTTAGAGCAGTCGCCCGGATTGCGAAAGGTCGATTCCCATCTCTGGGTGTCAGGGACTGAGTGGATATTTTAAGCATTTTGTACTAAGAATAAGAAAATAACACCGAACCATATTATCTACAGGTGCCCTCAGTCTATCGCAGCGTCTCACACCGTTGGGTAGTTTGCTGATCACGATGCAACTGCCGCCGCGGCTCGGCTGCTGCATGCTGTGGGCCGCGGTGGTCGGCAATATTGTATCTATAGCCAACGTGGTCACTCACTGCGCTGACAACTTGGAACTGTTCCACGATGCCGCCGATAGGAGACACGGTCAGTTGGACAACTTTTAGGGTCCTGCAGATCTATTTTTGTATCATCATCTCATACAAAAATAGATCGTGACGTCACAGTTTATGAATAGGGATATGATATTTTAAATCGAATAAAATAGGTAATATACTATTTTGATGTTTTTGAATCGCTATTAACTTTTTATAACACACTACGCTATTCGTTGCGTTTAAGTAGTTTGAATTTGCAGTATTTTATTGCACTTTTTAATAATTATTTTACTAGTGAAAATTGAATAATATTAAAAAATATTTATATAGTCTTTATTCTGAAACAATAATGTTCATAACAAAATACATTTAACTCTTATTTTAATCAGACGCATATTCTCTATTTACGAAGTTGATTTCGATCTCTATCGCTACGCGTCAAGCATTGAAATAAAATAAAAAACAGGTATATTTAACTTGGCCTGCTATTGACAGCACTTATTTTAGAATTTCATTGTTATTATTTTTTGTTAGATAAAAGAATCAATTTGTAATAGTTTCTCGTTTCTTATAACGCTATAGAACATGTGAATTTTATAATAAACTTTTATGTTAACAGAAATTCGTGAATTCAAGCGTACATACAGCAGTAGTTCAGATCACGCGGCGCTACATAAAATTCAAAACGAATTCGAGAGTGTACGTGATAAAATGGGCAAGATTTACAGCCAACAGTGGTGTGAGAGGCGACATCTGAGATGGGACAGACTGGATTATGTTAGAAGTGAGTGACAAACAAGAAATCCTTATATTTTCGCCATGTCCGTCCGTCCGTCCGCAGTTTAGCTCAAAAACTATTGGTACTAGATTCTTGTAATTTGGCATGAGTATACACGTTTAAACATTATTTTAAGACTTAGTAAAGAGTTTGCTACTTAATAATCTTTAAAGAGCTAATTTTCGTTAAGTCAAGTGATCCCCCCCTCTACCAACTAAACGGTCGTTGGTAAAAAGACAAACGTTACGGCAGTAATAGCTATATATATATACCGGGTGTTACAAAAATACCCGTTATAGCTGAAGGGTGTTGAAGTATATCATATAAACAGTACTCTGCCAAATTTTCAAAACCTTTGCATTAACTTTTAACTTTCAGTAAAAAGGCTAATTTTTAATAATTAATAAATACATCGAGTGTGCTATGTCACATCACTCATCATCATCATCATCATCATCAGCCGGAAGACGTCCACTGCTGAACATATATTTTAGGTTAATGACCTTACCAGGAGTAATGGCACACTACCTATCTCCTATGTTTTCTAATTTTTTTTTTTCTATTCTCCTAGTACACACCCACACATACACACTAAGAATGAGAGAGAAAATATACTTAAAAACATGTCTGCGTTTGCCAGTTTACACAGTAAATACGTAACCTATTTCAATCGAAAATAAAATGAAAAAAAATTAAATAGGAATCAAATCATTGGCAAAATGGTATGGTAACCGACGCTGTTCAGCCGGTAGTCTAATTTCAGTAAAAAAAAATATAATACATATTATTATCAACGCGCACATAATTTCATAGCATCGTTTCCGACTCAGCTGTTTCTGAATTACAGATCAAACACCATTTTAAGTAGTACCTATTTATGATAGATAGGTAAAATTTATTTAAACACTGATATACGAGTCTAACTTTTAGTTCATACTTTAATGGTCCGACAAATCTGATTGATATTACGATAATAAAAAAAAAATGATATGCGACATAATTCACAAACGATTTTGGCGTATTTAAAAATAAATATTTGCGAATTACTATTTGTACTTTACCTTTTCACTTCCTTATTCACTGTTTAAGCATTACTTGTGAGGTTCACTCACCTACACTTTATTAGGCACTTAATTTTATTCCACAAGAAAAAACTAAAGATCGCGGCCAACCTCTGGTTCACTGACGTGTCAGTATAATTACATCTTTTCAAAATAGTCTCAATTTATATCAATACAACACTGCATCCCATGTAACACTGATAAAAGCACTTTTCATAGAACTCGGAATTAAAGAACACGGACATTTTCGAAACGTGATCACATCGACGACGTATAAACAACTGAATAAAGAAAAAGTGATAAAAAGGGAAAGCCGCCAATTTGAGTCCTTTATTATAAGCCGCTGCATAGTGTGCGGCATGTCAAAGGCGCACAGAAAGGTACCTATAGTTCCGCAATTAAATCTGAGAAGTAGCGGGATAGGGTTGCCATCTTCTCTTATTAGATCGGAAATTTTGTCCTTAAAGCCGGACTAAGTCAAATCTCTCGCGAAGCCGTAAAACAATATTACCGTAGTAGACAGTAATATTAGTTCACGGCTTCGCGAGGGTTACTGCCTAGTTATTCAGAGGGTGCGTTAAGCAAAAATCACTAACTTTCAATTGATTTTGTAGTAAAACGTAACATACAAATAAGCGGTAATTAAAGATAAGATAACTACATCATAATTTTAACGCTTTTATCACAGCCAAAACGTGAATTCATAAAATAAGGCTTGATCGTAACATCAAAATTGCACAACCTATTTAGAAAAAGGTTTTTTTTATAAAGTAATTTCGGAGACTATACGATGCAAACAAACTAACGATTTGTATTCAAATTTCGCAAATGCCCGTGCAACACTGCGTCTTTTTGGGTATTTGGGTATTTGACGTTTTTCGAATTTGCGTGTATTCATAGTTTATTTGATATAGCTTCGGCACAGGTATACCAAAAACCTATGAAAACTATACCGCCGGACATGTGACATTAACATTTAGCTGCACACAATCTAAAAAGTCAAACATGTCCCGCTAAAGACGGATAGATGACAACCCTAGACAGGCGGCAATGTTAAAGTTTGAGCCTAAACTTCTAGTTGCCTAGTACCGAGGTGATCAACATTTTATTGTACAAATTAAAAAAATCGTCGCAGGACATTGTTGCAACTAATTTTTTTACATATGTACGTAAGTACATAATACGTTACGTATTATGAACGTTACGTATTAGGAATTGTTAATTGACAAAGATTTGGTAAATTTTTATTGTTGTTGATAAGATAGTACATGGTTGTATTTTTAGTATTTACAAATTTAAACGTTGTTAATGTTTGGTAAAGGCTAGTTTAAGTGATAAATGTGATATACTTTCACGCTGCACCTGTAAAAGAGCATGCTTGGCTCAGTCTGTAGAGAGGAAGTAGCATCGACTATCATAAGACATCGTTAAATAAATAAATTAATGTATTTCGTGGGCCGTAGTAATCTGCATACAATCGACATACCTGTTTAAAATTTTAATTCATTTTATACACCTTTTCTATTTTGAACTATTTTTCAAATAAATGACCATTTGTTTGTTAGGCGTGTCGGTCGTTTTAGGGCTTTTTCTATTTAAGGAAATAGGTAAACAGTACATAATAAAACGTCTCATTCATTTTCATTTCTTACAGCATTAAAATAGTGAATCCTATACTCTGATTCTAAAATTCAGTTGAATAGCCCACAGTAATAAAATAGATAATAAATTAAAATCCGTACCAAATGTTTACTACTACCGTATCTAGCGTCAAGTAGTCACTCGCGCGCGACATCACACAAACACGAAAGATAATGTTTCGTTTCTTTCTCTCTCTCTCTTTCCCTCCCTCTCTATCTCTATCTTACGTCATTGTACATTCGGGGGAATAAGTGAATTTGTTTTAGGCTCGATTTTACCGATTATGTATTGATTTGTCTTACGTATTTAAATACCTAAACAATAAAAAATATTTTTAAGAGTTAAGCTAATGAAGTTATTTCTTAGCACCGGATACAACCCTTCCTGCGCGAGTCCAACTCTCACGTGGCCGGTTTTTTTTTTTATAATTAGTTGTTAGCAGTTTGATAAAACTAGGACTTTTGACTAGTGAAATATAAAAAAACTTCAGTTATTGAGAATATTCAGTTGAGATTTTGTACTTTTCTCAATTCAGAAAGCGGCTCTTTGTCGACATTTTTTCTTGTCCGACGCTTTTAAGATACCTAAGTGTAGTGCATATCATTAACTCTAAGGTAGCAATCCATTTTACTTGAAACAATTTACATGTAGTAAGAGTAAGTGGTTGAAACCATAATCGGGAATGATCATATTCCCGATTAAGGTTCATATTCCATTTTAAGTCTGATCTTTTTATTGTAAAAATATTAGAAAAGAAATAAATTGACCATAAACACAATTGAAATATGTACACGAATATTGATCAATGTTTCAATTTATTCCCCGACTGTATCTGCGCTGACGTCATATTAGGTTTACTTTCGTAACAGAAGATTGTAGGTACGAGTACCAGGTTATCATGATTTAAAGACACGATGTGTAAAAATTCTGGTTCAAAGATGAAGCAGCTACAGATAGACAAAGTTACCCGTATCACCATATCACTCAGTGATATACGTCGCCTACTTTCATAATATTGTAATTACCTAATTATGAAAAAAAATTGTTCGTGCAATAACGAATATTCTACTTATCTAGAGGTCGCGATATTTCTTCTTCCTCTGCTTCTCTATTTGTTTAGATTAGATGAAATTGATTTTATGAGTACATTATTGAGTGACGTGTCGTAGCATTAATTATAAAGATTATTATTTTGGATGGGCCGTCTACAGTTCGTAAAGAGATATTGTACGAGCATTTCAGGCGAAAGTATTTAATCCAGTGCAGTGACTATAGCGTACTGTTTATTGTTTGTTTCCGTGCCTGATATGTGCGTAGTACGGGCATAGTAATATGGCAAGGTATATTGGAAAGGGAGCTCTAATCTGAATAAAAACGAATTTTGGAAATAGTTTTAAAATAATGTTTTCGTGTAATATTTTGCATGTTCGAATATTTGCGTATGTACACATAACTAGATAAATTATTTCGCTGTACTGTGACGTAGGCACTAAATACCAGTAGATATAACCAGTCTGGCAAAATAATAGTCTTTGATTTAGAAGTCAATGAACTGAAACAGCTGATCATAATGTCGGTGTGCTTCGATAAATGGTATCGAAAATTTTGCTAAACTTCGATATTGTTTTTTTCAATAAATACAATGGCTACGATATAAAGGTCAGCGTCCATTATCTCAGTTTTATATGTACTCAATGCCATTTTCGGGGTAACGGGTTTTTTTGTAACACGCGGTATAAAGAAGTTAAAAGAAAAACTATCATACTTAAGTTGGCTTTACAAGATTTCGAGTAATTGTCGACCATTACTCGCAACAATTATATTTAACTCGAAAACTTCAAAGAAGTCCATAAAAAACTACAAAAGTGTTTTTTTTAATGGGTAATAATACGGAACCCTTCGTGTACAAATCTGACTCGCACTTGGCCTTTTTTTTTAAGCCATCGCTTGGGAATATTGTTCATACCGCCGACCGTAACGCATACCCAGTGTTGCCAGCGATGGTTTTGGGAATTTCCGCGCAATGTAGAAAGATTCCCTTTCTTGTCCTCGTCAAAGCTTGTTTAGTAAAAAAAAAAACAAATTTCAAAAATCGTATTTTGTTTGTATAGGTTTGCTATATTACATAATTTTAGTTCCACAAACTTTTTTCTGCTATAGTTTGTGTATATATAATCGCTATACATTTTAAAGGGATTGCAATAGACTTTAAAATTAGCCCACTGATTCACTGTAGGTATATTATAATAGATCTGCGACTAAAAAGTTTATTTTTTTATATTTCCAGAAGTATCAAACCTTCACTTAGAAAACATACTCAAATCGGGCTTCTTAGAACAGAACCCTGACCCGTCGGAGCTGACTCGGTTCTCAGATGTGGATCAGCTGACCGCCGCCATTTTGCTGGCGGGATCTAACTCTTTACTGACCACTAAGAGACATATTAAAACTAAAGGAAAGTTGGCTACTGTCGTCGAAGTGTATACTACGTACGTAAATATTTTACTACCATTTACATAGAAACGAATATAAATATAATAATTTATTAATATTTTTAATGTGGTTAGTATACATTGCCTTAAAATTAATATTAGGTGAAACTATTTGTGACAAGAAATTGTACATTTTGTTTTCATTTTGCATACGAATTTATCTTAATAGGGATGATGACTGGGTAAAAAAAAATGCAATTCTTTTTAGTCCGTCAGTTAGATAATAGAAAAATACTAAATACTTTTTTTTACTTCAATTTAACAAGAAATAGCTTAGATAACAGGCATAAAAGTTGAGGAGTGGGGGCTCGCTACGTCACAGTTGAGTAGAAAACGTACCATAACGTGACGTCATGCGAAATTTCAATTCCATGTATCGCCGTTATTTTATGATTACGAAAAAAATAAAAATGTACGTTTTTAATATTTTTTAACTCTACCTGACGGACAAACAAACAAAAATTAGTCGTCATCCCTATTAGATCTGTATGAACATAAATTTTTAATGTCTGAAGGATGCGTTAACATACTTTAGTACTTAACTAACAAACAGTATCCAAATAAGTTAAAAATAAAGTTCACTTTAAATTCTCTGTATTCGTTATAAAACATCTTAAAAGTACTATTGAATCGATCCAATTTTTTTTTCTAATACTCGTTCAGGACGTCTTAAGGCTGTTAAGAAGAATTCAAGAAACTCACCAGCTCTACATTCACAAACCATTTCATTATCAGATCAATACATTTAATATTGAGAAAAAAAGAACTATGATCTTATAATGATAACATAATAATTAAAAGTTTAGAAGACATCAACTATCCAATTGCTGGACCATCTTAAATCCACGCATTCTTATCTGTTATATAATTAGATAATTTATAATAAGCATTTATAATAAATATTTTTTTAAGTAGTAGATTAAAACTGCATGATACAAACAAGACTCCTGAATGAATTATTAACTTTTTGCAGTCTAGTGATAGGAACCCCTTATTTATTTTTATTTCTACTATTAAAATTGTGTAAATCACTTTTTATAGAAAGTCATAATTTGTAGATAAGTTACTAGAACCTATTTAAATTATAAATTGTTGTCATTGTAAAAGAAAAATTCAACAATCTCACGTGTTCGAAGCGCCCACAGAAGTGATTCTATGATATCATTCTAAATGCAAAAAATAAATATAGAACTTTTCTTTACAGTAAAGGTGATCGTGCTCATATTGGAAATGAAAGTGTCAATCACTCTATATCAAAGCGAACTAGCAAAACACAGTTGTTGACTTACTACGGCGGGCAACATTCCAATGAACGACGGGCCTTAGTTGTATACAAAACGTCTGTGGTACCACCACATACTGCGTTGTTATTCTGCAAGGGAGAAATAAGAACTGAAGAAGCGGTGAGAGAGTATATAGTATACACAATAGATGGCGCTTTATGAATATTTGCTTTTCTTAACTGTGGTCTAAACAGTCGGGAGGCGGATCTTTGTATGTCTTGCATATTATAGAACAGTAATACCCGTTTTCACTAACCTAGAACAAGACGTAGCTTAACTTATCTGTTAATATTAAAAATAGCTTAAGCAGAATTGTCGTTTCACCAACCCTATAACGTTAGGAAATGCTTACTAAGCACTTGCTTATATAGGCCAATGCTTGTCTATGATTTTGTATGCTTTAGTTTTTTTTCTACTTTTTTAATTTATAGCCTATTTGGGTTTACTCAATCCCGCCAATGTCACGTTAGTGGCCTTTACACATAAAGGTATTTTGAGGTACATAACAATACAAGAAAAATTATATGTGGTCCTGTATTTACACGAGCACACAAGTCGTTAATGCCCATATATAAAAAAATCAAACGTTGTTTATATTTGAATTCTTATAAACAAACTTGATTTAAATGAACTAAATTGACTGATCCCTTGACTTGAACTAATAAATAATAATAGTAATAGTGTTTTTGTTTTGAAATGTAATTAAATTAATATATTGTTTCAGAACACCGATGAATGCAATATGACTAACTTTTTATTACCGAATCACAAACTACAAGTTTTGGTTCCATCTAGGTATGTCTCTCTTTTTTATTTTCATGTAAAATCTATGTTATTTCATAATTATATACTGTCATTTCGTAACAAGTCGTGTATATTCAATTGTTTTTTACTACATTCTGAAATCCCAAATCGCCTTAAACAATATAGTCTCTAGCTTATAATAAAAGGGGCACTAACTCAAATACCAAGCTTGAACCATTATCCGACTAAATTAAATCAACACGTCTCAATTCGACATTTACTCTTCTGTCATTTTCAATTTGCTTTAAACGACCAATACTTATTATATGTACCGCTAGTCATCATACCTATTTACTAATATTATTTAGGATGTAACAGTTAAACTCCTCTCTAACCCATTTCAACTTAAATTTTAACTATTTCATAAGTTAAAGTTTTTTCAGTCAAGCAAGCACGTTTTTGAAAGCCAGAGAGATGTTATGGAATACATTCCAGTATTACATAGAGAGGGATCTCAAATCTATACCGTATGATGACCACGTCACTATATCAAGATTCACGGCGAGGTTAATTAAATCTGTAACCAAGATTCTCAGTGAAGCGCATAGGGAATATGCAGTAAGAGAAAGAAGTTTATTCAGTGATGAAGATGATGAAATATAAAGTAAATTATATCTCAATGTAGTTTTATTTGTTCTTATATCCACTGATTATAAAAAGAAGTTCAACGCCATCTAGTTTCAAGCATTTGTATAATAATTTATTGTCTTTATTTATGTAGCGACCTCCACAGCATATCTTGATTCTGTCATCAATGTCAGGCTGCGAAGTTTTTAGAATAGCGTTTTTAAGTGAATTTTTCATACTTGTTGACCTAAGATTATATAATATCCAGATGTTGAAAATTGTAACTTATTAATATTATGACATTTTTCTAAACATAACTGTTCGGTAATAAAAATAATATATGGAAAGCATTACAGTATTTAATGGCTCATTTTAGGGCTCGTGCTCATAAGCTCACCTAATTTTTAACTAGTTTAGAACTAAATAATTAAGAAATAATGTGTTAAATAATTTATCCAACAATCATAGCCAAAAATTCATTTTTTTTAAACTCTGTAGAGAATAAATTACGTACACCGAAATTCATCATTTTTAAGTTTTTTGTTGTAATAAAGAAGTATTTAAAAATAAAATTAGTTCCCGAAATCAAACTAGATGGTGCTACGGTATGTTCTTGATTTCTCCATGACATTTTTCCCTTCCGGTTTTCTTTCATGTTTAAAAGTAAATTAGTTTTCAAAATCCAATAAAGAACTCATATTCTATTTGCACTTTTACTTATTTGTATCTAAGTTTAAAACTTTTCAAATTTCAGTTTTTTAAAATGTTAAAAGGAATGGAAATTACTGTCATTGGTCCATTCGTTTCCTGCAAAAATCATCTTTTGCTAGATACGCCATCTAGTGGAGGTGCTCTTTTAGTGCTTTCGTTTTTTTACATACTTCCTCATTATACCCTTTTTATGGAAAAAATAATAATTTTACACCCATGTGGCAATACTCATGGATATATTACTTTATTCTTCGGTTCTTTGTTTTTGAGAAATACGGCAGCAAATTACTATCTTATTAATGAAAATTAATGTTCCAATTCTTATCTTTCTTGCGAGTATAATTTAAGTATGATTTCACCCCCAATTAGCCATTTTAATAAAAATCGATAAACATGCGTGGCGAACGCTTTTTTGGAATACTGTTCAGGCATTTGGTTATTTGGTATTCTATTGTTCTACCTGCCAGCGATTTTTCACTCCTTGCGCTAACTGTTTTCAATGTCACTAGATGTCGCTCTTTAGTCACCACGTACTTTGTAACAGTTATGTCAACCATGTCAATCAAATTGTCTATGAAATACAATTTGAATGTTTTCTATGGGTTAATTATCTTATTTTCAAATCTATCGTTTTGAAAAGTATTACGGATTATGAAAGCCTTTTATCTACTAATGTAGAGTAAGGTGGGACACACTGTTACAAAGCACATATCTTTATCCCTGTCATTACTTAAATACAGTTTTGACAAACATTTAGGTGGTCATCTCGAATCAGTTTTCATTACCTCAGTCCCTCAGTTTATCGCAAGGTGACCAAAATTACATTGATGTTTTTTATTTTTTTCTTGATATATGACATTAAGGTCAGTGATTAAGGTTTACATTTGGTCTTGGCTGGTCTTTTGGCTTTTTATTATCATTTAGTAAATTATCCATGGAATCTCTATTACTCATTGGATTTTTTTGTTCGGCGTGCTCATCTGGGGCACTGTGTTACACTGCAATAATGAGCCCCAACAAATTTCTAGTTTGTTTTGTGCCTAGGGTTTAAAAGAAAATGGTAAGTAATCGTAGTAGAAAGACGGATCACGGTTTTCATACTCAAAGTTATATGAGAGAAGTGACTCTGATGGTCGAAAGTGGGATGAGTTATCCCACTTTTAAAAGGCAGTAACTAAATTAAGAATATTATTTTTATGACGTTACTAAAATATGAGTACTCCAGATACGGGGCACAGTGTTACAATCCACTTACGTGATTAATATTCAATTAAAATTAGCTTGTTGGTAATAGGAATAGTCAAGGCTTAATAATTCTAAGTAAATAAGGAATGTTGTTGTTTACATCCAGTCAGTTTAAAGTTGATTAAATTAATATTTTCGTCGCCACATTATCGTTTGGTTTTTTTGTAACACAGTGCCCCACTTTAGGGCAAGGTTTAAAGTAGTAATCGGTTTTGAAACGATTGATGGGGACATAATGAAACTTAGCTAAACCCATCAAAAGATTGCATTTAGCATTTAACATTTTCGTTTGACATTTCTCAGTTGTTTTCAAAGAAATAAGGTTATCTGTCATTCAATATTTTTCAAAAAACAGCGCGATTACAATCGCTATCACATGTCGAATAGTTGTTGAGGATTGAAAGGGTTTGCGACATATTTTAATTGAAGCCTCTGAATGTAAAAAATATTACAACAATCTTAAAGGTTGAGCTGATACAAAACTGTAAGTAACCAGTCGTACATTTTGAAGTATTTTATTTAAGAAGTAGATCGATTAACGACTGTTAGGATTACTAAGATAATTAATATGTTAGATGCAATGTAATCGCATCGAGGTCGTGTTATAACTTCTGACTTTTCAACAAATGATAGCAATAAGAAATTTTTCAATGCAGTTGCTCATAAAGCGTTATTTTTTTAATCCATTGTAAACACCGAAAGTGAGTCTTTAAACACGTGTTAAATAAAAATGTAATGAAATCCTTTACTGCGCACGTGCTTAAAAGTATTTTTTTAATTTTTTTTTTTGGTTGAGCACCAAAGATATTTAAAATAAATTGATGAAAATGCAGTATATTTTTATATGCAGTGGCTAAATTATGAGAACTAAAACGGGACTAGGCTTGTCGACTACTCCATGTAGGCAAACTAGGCAACGGCCTAGGGCAATCCAGTGGCGGACTAACCTCATCAGAAGCCCGGGGCAGCATTAGGCCCGGATCGATAACTTTTTCCAACCGGGGCAGAAATTTGATACCGTTTGCGTTTACAACCAAACCCACCTTCAAACAGGCCTTCTAATCCGCCTCTAGATAGTTATGATTACAAACTTACGAAAAGGAATTAAACTTATGGAGCAACAAAATGGCAGTCTCATAATATACGTTACCTATACCTACCTACTCTTGCTCTAGCAGGCAGCGGCCCAGCGGCGCACATTACACGCTCTTTGGCGGCGCAAAACAATCGGACGGATGCGTTCTAATGACTTCCGCGGCTAGGAATTCGTGTGACGCATAGTATTTTGTCAAACAACTGCTGCAATGTGGAAAATAATTGTGTACACATAGTATAAAACAAGGTCGCTTCTCTATGTCTATACGCTGAGAACTTAAGCTACACCACGGATTTTAATGCGGTTTTCACCAATATACAGAGTTATACACGAGGAATGTTTACCTATATGTATCCTTATAATACAGAAAAAGAGAAAGCTAGTACATACTTAATATATGTAGTCATTATTGCCGTGCTCGGAAACGTCATTAATTATATGTAGGATTTTTCGCTTTTAAGTAAATAACGACTGTATCACAGCAACCAGACACAAGACAGTTTTAGAAAAGTTGATTTTCTACATTGATTCAGATAAGACTCGGGAAAATATTATATACCCAATTGTATTGTTTTTACAACTGTGATTATTCATCGAAGAAAGATACCTGTAGCCAGATAAAATAACCCTCACACCATAATTCTAGCCACTCTAGCCATAACTATAAAAAGTTTTATTGATTATATCAATCAATCTGTCGATATTCTTTCATAAATAATTATATGTATTTTTATTATTTTTATATATATCTAGTGTATAGATTTATCACAAAAGGAAAATAAATGTTTCATTAAATTATTATTATTATAAACTGCGAATTTTAATCGTATGTACATCGATGATTGTGAGATAACGGAGAAATCCTGGAGTCCACGAAAACCGATGTATGGTGATGCCAATTTTGAAACGCATGCTTTACTTGTTTTTGTTTTTACTTTTGTCATGTCAAATAAAAAGAAATTTGGTAAGTTTTTATAAATTTTTGCTTACGCACGTTGGGGGCCTCCCTCGCCCGGGGCCCCATGTTTTATATGTATATTCATCATTGTGCATGATAAATGATCATTCTTAGTATAGCCTAGTAAGAGACAAGTAGTTTTTCTAGGTATTATGGTAATGATGACTAACGATTATCTTACAAAGGAGGTTTAAGTTTTTTCATACCTATTGTTTTTATTGATTTGTAGTCGATATTTCTAATGCTTTATATTATCTGTGTACTTGCTTAAGTATTTTAATCTGACTTTTTTTAATCAGCACTGAGAACATTCAAATCAACCCCAATATATAGGGTTCCAACAAATTAAATTAGGTATACTTATCTTTAATTTGTTTTCAAGATAACGCTTATATTTATTTCCCCCCGAAATTAAATACAGTAAGTACTTATATTGTAGAACAGTACAGTCAACTGCTCGTCAAACTATACAAACCTGTCAAATTTCCCCATTCAATTTTAAACCTTTATGTTAACGATAGAAGTCAACATCCATTACAGAAAATTTACATTTTTTGGTAACCTGACGTTCAGCCCTGTGTACTAGAAGTAAATCTACTCAACATACTACTATACATACCTTCGACCCTGTTTTTCCTTATCATAGAATACGTTTTCCTGTTTAAGTGTTGTGTCGTAAGAAATTAATGGTCAATGGGGAAATACATGATTTTTCTGTTAAGTAATGACGTCAATCGCTTCGAAACATAATAAGTTGGAAATGAAAAGATAGTATATTTTTTGTACATTTCCATCCTTGCCCTTTTATTAGTTTTACTAGTTCTAATTAATAAAATAAGTACCTACCTACATTTATTCATTGTTTTTTCAGTCATCCCTTTTACGCCCCCACTGCAACGGCTCAGGCCTTCCTTATGGATGGTTAAGGAAGATGGACCATGTCCCTCCACTGTGGCATGATACAGATTGGAGGGTATTAACGACTGCAAATACAATAGTTTAACGTGCCTTCCGAAGCACGCAGTAGCTTGATATATTAATTATTTTGGTCACCCAATCCGTGACCGAACTCGGTGAAAGTTGCTTAACAAAAACGATCGCGGGCCGCAGCGCTTATCTACTACGTCGCCGAGCTACTCTAGTACCTAAATACGACTACTTAATTGAAAATAACAGAATACTTGTATTCTAAAAATACTCGATTATTATCTTTATCCATAAATATTTATAATTACGCAACGGATTATGATGCGGTTTTTTTTCACAGATAGTGTGATTCAAAAGGAAGGTTTTTATTTAATACAAGACAACGCAGGCGAAGTCACTGGCGGAAAGCTAGTACAGTATAAGTAAATCTGATTGAACCTGCTGTTTGAAAATATTCACCGTAATAAAAAATTAACAACAGTTTTATGTTTCAGTCCTTTAAATAAATCCAAAATACATACATTCAAAAGAATAAGCATAAGTTTATTTAAAGCATGATGGTAGGATTCGGTACTTTTTCTGCAAAACAAACTCCCCAAAACAAGACCGGTAGGTAATGGGAACGGGGATTCGGAAAACCTGTCTTTGAAACTGTACTGCACATGTCAATGTCAAAATGTCACTGGAAGGCAAAAAACAAGTTACCGTCTGGTTTGGACTTAACTCTGGTTTTACTAATTAATAACGTAGCATACATAAGTGACGGCACGACGAGACTATAGCAGACAAAAACTACGCAAAGCTCGAAACCGGTCAGTTTTCCTCGTTCGCTTCGCTCATACCATACCGAGGCTAGACATCAGTTGTCGCACGATGTTGAATACGTGTTTACATTGAAAACCCTGCGGAATTAACTCGATAAATTCATAATTCAAGTGAAGTGTGGTGTTAAAAACTATTACAAAATAATCAACATGCGTTTTTACGTGATAACATTTGTGTTTCTAACCATATCATTGTGTCATGGACAAAACAGTGCCCCTATAGTTCCGAATGTCGATTTACGCAAAGGATTATCAGAAAAAATCGGTAATTTTTCCGTCGAACTTTTGTATCACACATCCAATGTGCAAGCAAAAAATTCTAACCTGATCGTATCACCAATAACTGTGTGGACGGTTTTAGCTGTGACTGCAGAAGGGGCGGCGGGCGAAACACTCAATCAAATAAACAATGTTATACGCGTTACCATGAGAAATCGTGATTTAGTACGTAACGAGTATAAAAGTATCGCACAATGGCTCCAAGTAAAAACGAGTGTTGTTGAACTTGCAAAGGTGAATGCAATGTTCGTAGACGTGGGTGGTCTTCCCTTACAAGACTTTATTGACTCTGCCAAGAGTGATTTCGATACTGACGTTGTTCCTCTAAACTTTACCCAATCTGAATTGGCGTCTGAATTAGTGAATAGAGTTATTGCCAATGTCACACATGGCAGAATAGCAAAATTGGTGGACAGCAGTTATTTTGCTAATTCACGTCTGATTTTGACTAGTGCGGTATATTTTAAAGGACAGTGGACTGTACCTTTCAATGCATCTTCTACAACCAAAAGTCCATTTTTTAGTGAAGATGGCAAACAAATTGGGGAAGTAAACATGATGTACAACAGATATACATATCCATTTGCAAACATACCAGAGATACAATCTAGAATATTAGAACTACCCTATGGAACAGAAAACCGACTCTCAATGGTTATAATGTTACCACATCCTGGTGTCTCCTTAGAGAAAATGTTCTTTAATTTCAATAATTTTACTTTAGACAAAATGTTCCAAGAATTGAAAACTGCTCGAGAAGACTATGGGGATGATGAAGTCAGTTGTTTCCTTCCACGATTTAAAATAGAATCAAATATTGACCTCACACCAATCTTGAGAGATAGATTAGGTATTGTTGATCTCTTTGACAGTTCCAAAGCTAGATTATACCGTATGGCAAGGATGCCTTTGTATGTCTCAAAAATTATACATAAATCTGAAATAGAAGTCACCGAAAAGGGAACTACTGCTAGCGGAGTTACTGTAGCTGATTTCAGTAACCGCTTTGGAGTTACAACATTTAATGCTAACCGTCCATTTAGTTATATGATTATTGAGAAAATTACTAATACAATAGTATTTGGAGGAATCTATCAAGAACCATCATTATACTAATATGGGGCAAACCAAACTACAATATAAATACTTAGAAATGTTACTAACCAATTAAAATTCTATTTGTCTGTGATGCTACTCTCTGTATTTTTGTTTGATTCCTATTATTGTTCTTTTGTTATATAATACACATTAATATTTGGATATTGTAATCTGAAATACTCACACAAAATGATTAAGCATGAGTTATTAGTACTGACAGTAGTAGTTGTTGTGTGTCTAAAGAAAGCATGTCATTGCTATGAGATCATTTATTAATAAGTAACACTCAAGAAATATACCATGATCTCTTTATATATCTCTAAAATAGATATTGTAAAGTTACCTTGTTCAATTATAAACGTATTTTTCAATGATAATTGATCAAATGAAGGATTTAGTATGTATTTGTATTAAAGTTTGATATATTTGTAGAAGTAATGGATTATAAATGTTATTTTAATGAATGTGACATTAAGATAAATTGAGAAAATATTAGTGTAAGTACTGTTAACAAACAGCACATCAGGTAACAATAAAATATTAAAAACTTTGATAGTTACAAACTGATTTAATAACTTTAATATTTTATTGTAATAAATGCAAAACTGTTTCTCCACTTGATTTTAAACCTTAATATAATCTATTGAGGAAATTTTACACTATTCTTTAGCACTAAGTGGTGAAATTTAATTTGAAAATTTATAGAATATTCATAATTACAACAAATAAAGGATTATTTAATATTAGACTTTTTTTGTAATTAATCAAAAGAATCAATATTATGAGTTCTGTTCTTTTCCATAGTTATGATTACCTATTTTCTTAAGTGTAAATAGTTAAAGATCAGAGGTCATCAATATAATCTGTCTAACTGCCGGAAATGACACTTATCTCAATGTCGTAAAGAATGTTTTTATATTAAATTAGACTAATAGTCATTCCATGTTTGTAAAATCAATGTAAAATACAGATTTGTACTACAAGACTTACGGTCAGTTGCACAAACGTTAAGGTTTAATGACGCCTTTAATCTCTAATGAAAAATGGACGTTTTGCAACTGGCTGTTAATGTTACTGAATCTCATGTTGTGAAAAATAAATTTAAGAACAATTTTTGTACAAAACTGGCTGTTTTCTTGTCAAAAAAAAAACATCCCTGTTTTAACTCTTCACAGTAACGCTGATATTTATACGTAGTCATAATGATTTGTGTATATTTACACAATTTAGAATCTCGATTGACCTCAAAAGATTTCAGCTGTTTTACCTTATTGAATGTATGGGGGTTAATTGGTGTCAAATACGTGACTGTCAATGATAAAACTAAAAAAGGAAAAATCTTATGATAAAAAGGGCGTTAAAAGATTATGATTATAGATAAAAAGTCCAAATAAGCTGTAGGTACTTAATTTAATAGAAAAAAAACGATGTACCTACATTATATTTCTATGGATTACAACTAGAGCGCGAATTTTTAAAAATTTAAATCAAAAACCACTGTTAGAATATAGGAGAGTGTATAGCTACTGAAAATTTGCTATAATTATTAAATAATGTTTACATGAAAATACTTAAAACATTAAATTACTAATTTACTATTTGAATGTGAAATAAAAATGAAAGTGCATCAACTGTAAACTTTCACTTACGATAAATTATTGCAAGCAAAATGTAATCAGATCAATTAATTACTAGCTTTGAGCTAGCGGTTCCAAAACCAATATGTTAAATTAGGCTTAGAATTGTTATCTGTCTATGAAATTTTATTTTAATCCTTTTTCTAGTTTTTGCGTGAGAGTAGCAAACATACATTAAACATTCATCCACACAAACTCTCGTATTAATAAATATTAGTATTCTTAATGAAAAATGCTTCAAAAATCCGCTTTGTCCCTGGCACTCTGAGATGGGATTCGAAGTAAGCTGCTCTAACCAGTAAGTACACATATTAAATATAAATACACGTGATATATTACTACACCCCCCCACCCGCCTTGTGATATTTCGTGATTTTTGACGAATCCCTCCCCCCCCCCCATCGAGGCTCCCAAGTGCATGAAAGATTCGTCAGTCCTGATGGGTCCTGAGTAGTTCAGTGGTTAGAGCAGTCGCCCAGATTGCAAAAGGTCATGGGTTAGAATGCCAAGGACAAAGTAGATTTTTTAAGCACTTTTCATTAATAATATTACTCAGTATAGCATAGTGAATGCAAAATTGATCAAATATAATAATAATATTAGTAGGCAAATAATGCTAAAGTATTAGAAATTAAGTACACATTTATCAATAGGTACTATAATTTCACGTATTTTTTTTTCACTTTTGATGTAGTTCTCTAATTTTTTGTTCTCGCAATTGATCGTCGTTGATAGTGGTTATATGGGAAATTACGTAGATGACAACCTTCTTATATAAATATTTATATCTGTGATGTCAACGGACAGTCAACAACGCATTTTTCCACTTAATTATAAAGTAAATGGTTGTTGCAACACGTTGTCAACACATTGGCATGTAGTAGCCTGAGTACTCCTCATTATCACCCGTCTGTTAGTATTCCCACTGCTGGGCACATGCCGTTCTGGACGGATTCATATCGAATAGGGTAAATGGGCCATGCCCACCGAGCAGGCCTACAGACGATTGGTGTCTGTTAACGACTTTAGGTGCCTTGGCCAACGGCTTAACGTACCTTCCGAAGCATGGAGGCGTTAGAGAAATACTTTTTTGGTCACCCATCCCATGATCAGCCATTACGAAAGTTGCTTAACTTCACCGCAGATCATACGCCATCAAGCTCCTCAATTCTGTGTTGAATTAAATTTATAATTTTAATAGAACATGTGATGCGGATTGATTTTGTGACGTTATGCTAGTTTCGATATTTGTCAAGGTTATTCGTTGATTGGTATTATAATTTTAGAAGGTATCTCCATGTCAACACGGTTCTTATTATACTGTAGGTACATTTTCCGCGTTTATTGGTGGTCTTATTCTAGGAATCCAAATAGTTTAATCACTTGTAAATCACAACCAGGGGAGCAATTCACTCACGTGGTATCCGAATTTACGTCTTTTTATTTTTGGGCAAAACAAAATTAATTGATTATACGTGTCTCAGATATTCTATCACTATGACATTTCTAAACTCACTTCACTTATGCCACGAAACGTTATTACCAATTTAAGGATGCGCGGGTGCCGCTTTTAAAGTGAATTCGAAATCGGCTTCGGATTTTTATAGAAACAGGGCAGTTCTAAAAAAACTATCAACTCAATATCTAGTTAAATTGTTTTAATTGCCCAAAAGGATCTCCAATACTTAGGCGAATTCATTAATAAACATATTGTCTTAATGCTACTTTTAGATCAATAAATGTTACTAGGGGAGACCGAGAGATTTGAAACAAAGGTGAGTTGAAACAGTACTTAATTTATCGGAACTTAAAACGGTGTAAGTTCACGTTGGTGGTGTAAATCGGCGGTTGTGAAGTTCTGTGAGCCGTGTGTCAATAATTATGAAAAGTAAGTTTTTTAGGCTTTGTTATGATGTTTATATTTTTATAAAGGTTATGTATTTTGATTAATATCTGTTTTGAAAGCTCATTAACTATAGATTCATTATATATATTTGGTACAATTGATTATTTCTATGTATTTGCTTCTTCATTGTGCATTAAATAAAAATGCGAGGTATTCTTTTTACTGAGGAGATTTGAAACAGACTATTTGAACTCATCTCGGTCTCCCCTACATACATAACATCAGAGATTGGACAATGGCTACAGAGCAGACAAATGCTACATCATACACTTCATCAATATTGGACACAGCGTGACTAGTGGTGACGCTCTTAATGAATGTCTACGCCAACTTTTTTTTTTTTTTTTTGTTTTAGAATGCCAACTGATAAAGAAAGATTGATAGGGGTATGGCATGTCGCGAAATATATGATCTCGCAGCAAAAGAAGTAATTTTATGACAGAAAAGTCTCCGTGACACAGTTTCGAGTTATAATCTGAACAATAAATCTCTCTACAGGCATAATAAAAAAATAATTGCTTAAGAAAGGCAACGAAACGGCGACTGCTCCTACAGTTTAATATCCCGGAAATACTGTTTTTAGCTTTAGGTTCAGAGGAGAAGACAATGTGTGAGTATCTTTTAAACTGCGCTGTTGCTACCTTTGGCCTAAGAATTGAAGAAGCCTGGATTTTTGCCTATAAATCACTTCTGCTTGGACTGAGCATGAAATGGCTGGAGAGGTTTGGCTTCGATAATTTATGAGACGGCATCCTGTTCTTTCTCTTAGACTACCTCAACCTACAAGTATTGCTCAAACTACAAGTTTTAACAAATCAAACGTGCAACTTTTTTCCAAAATTGACAAATATAAGTTACAAAGGAAGGCTATATGAAACGTAATAAAAGCTATATGAGACGTAAAAGGGCTGGTGATGATGATGATTCGCAAGTCTAAATAACTACCTATCGACTGGTACTAATATCATACGACTTCTGTGTATAGTATTCGGTATATGTATTAACATGTCCAAATTGTTTCAACTCCCTCGGTCTCCCCTACTTAATTTTTTATATTTGTTCAGTTTTGTATTCAAAAAGCTACCTATACAAGAAAAAAATTTTTTCAAAAAATACAACCGACTTCAAACTATAAAAAAGTGATAAATAATACTTATCTCAAATGCGATTTATCTAATAAAATGTTATTGAAGTTGGGCGGAGATCTATACTCATATTATAACAAAGAGGGAAGATTAGATTGCTTGTTTGTTTGCAAGTCTTTCATCTACGGGAAACTACATAATACGCGGTTAACGTAGGCTATAATTTACGAAGGCGAAATCGCGGGAATATTGCTAGGTTTGATAGAAATTGGTTCACGATTCAAGGAAAAATCGATAAACATACATACTTTCATAAAATATATAGATACTCTTATAACACAGATAACCCTCCTTTCGGATTTTGAATGAATTAAATAAAATACGCGATGTTTTGTTTTTTATCTGAAATGGGCCATGCATGTCACAACATATCATCTGAATATTAGGGTGATAAGCTGGTGAAAAGCGTATATTGTTTTTTTATAAAAGAAAAACTACTTACTGGTTCGATTTCGATAAAATTTAAAGGGGACTAACGCGGTCTATGAAGCTGTCGAATAAAAAAATTTGAAAATCGGTCAAAAATTGGCGGAAATATCTGTGACCATACATTATTAAAAATACCGGATTTTTGTGAACCCTGAAAAGTAGTTTGTACATAGGTACGTACCTATTTATAATTTTATTTCATCCTGACAAACTCCGTTTTCAATTGTTAATAATAAAATAACAAGATTTTAACTATATTTTTTATTATATTCTACGAATATTGTTAACACTAACATAAAATAAAATGAGTTTTTTTTTTTTAGTTTAGATTACGAGAGCTATACAATAGAATAGGCGCCATTGTTCAATGTTGAATAGGCGTACGGTCATTGCTCATGTTGAAACACATATTAGTACCTATCTAAATAGGTTCACAATGTTTTTAGATTTATATATTTTACCTGCGTTTCCACTTATTGTTTCTCGCTTTCGAGTATCTATACCTACGCCCACAACGAAAACCTACTTATCTACTTGAGTACTTAGTTATAAAAATGTTTACGTTTTATTACGCATATGCCAACGGTCACTCTTGTTTTTTATATACTGGAAAACCCCACTATTACGAATCTAAATTACCATAAATACTCCTTGGTAATTTCAAACGATTGCAAATCGGTCCTCACGCTAATAGCTGATTTGGCTCGCATAAGGACGTTCACCTCGACATAGTTGTTTGATTTGTTAGACAGATTGTTTTTTTTTTATTTTGTTAGCTATAGGTACTGCTGTATGTGAAATAAAAATTGATTTTTTTTATCGTTTCGGAACTTTGGTTTGGTTGCAAATAAAAAAACAATTATATTGAAGCTAGATTTCAAATCCTTGATGGGTGATGGTCAAATGGATTCCCTGTTTACACAGTGAATGTCGTATACAATTTAAATAGCCGATTAACTGTAAACTGGGATAACAAATAGTAATTAGGTACCCGCTAAAATGTCATTTTGCTTAGATGACCACAAGTAAATAATTACCTGCCTAGGATTATAACACCGTATTTATTATATTTCCAGATAATTAACGATGTAAAAATTTATTGCTGTTTTTAACTACTTATACAAAAATGTAAAACTTAAGTTAGACCTACACCGGAATAATAATTTACTTAAATAGATTTTATCATACGGTGGCAACATTTTTTTTTATCCTAGAACAATTTTTTAAAAGTTTCATTTTGTTTTATACAATCCAGAACACAATAGCGATTAATCCACTCCCAAAATGGCGTTCATTTTGGAGTAGATTTGTAGCCGCACGTATGTCACGCTGCACACCATCACCGTGAGCTGACCTTTGTTATTAGGAAAGTTCGAAGCTCGGTCCGTACAAAGTCTACATATTCAACATAAGAGTGGATTTTAAGTCAGCCATTGTGTTATTAGATAGTTAAATCAACTTTAACTGGCTTTGATGTGTGTCAGGCTAGCAGCACCACTCTCTTCGATTATGAAAATTCTTCGATTATAAAATGAAGTTTAAATCTACCTAGCTAGTCCCTTAGAGTCCGTTACAAAGTAGAGGCAAATAGCCAATTTACGTAGTTTTGGAGATAAACGAGGGCTGACGTCTGTCTGGTTATCATTTAATGTCTTATTATTATATTAGATTAATGTTTTAGACTATTTGAAGATAAATAAAAAATCAAGTACTTTAAACGGACTGTATTAAAGAATAAATCTCAATAGGTATTTGTAACATATATATCACGTCGAGTAGTCCGATATAGCTTGTGTGCGTCGTCCAAGTGGCCGAGGCGCCGCGTCGCACCCGGCGGCGACGGTAGCTGGTCCGGCGTGATATTCCACGCCCCCTCCTCGCTAGTGACGTAGGTGTAGAAGTACGTAGGTGACGCATACTGCTCTTTCTGCTCGTTCTCTAAAAGTACATGGTACTTTTAGAGAAGTGAGAAGTTGGTACATACATTACACAAATGATGATAAATTACGCAAATTATCTCTCAAAAAAAGTGTTTTGCAGCTATTGCAATCAAATTTTCTAGTCTCATATCATTGACATTAAATACTCTCATAATGTGATAAAACCAGAATCAGAATAATTATGGATCAAAATCAAATGCGTAACGCCTGCCGAATTATATAAGCAGATAACAAACTCTTCTGTTAAACACTATATAAAATCACAATTTAGCATACGTTACATTCTTGAGCTCAGCAGCGAAACAGATTTGTTTATCACCGATACTACTTATCTTGCCTATTTGTCCCTGAAACGGACTGATTATAGGGACTAGCTAGATCAAGAATTCATTTAAAAATCGAAGAGGCACTGCTAGCCTACCCACACCAGACTTTATTGTTTATGCAATTATATACTTACATTGTCTATTAATCGTACTCATATCATATTCTCTCCATATTATTGTAAATTAAAAATAAAATAAAAATATTTTTCACGTTCATTTAATAATAAAGAATGTCTGTAGAATGATTACATTTTGGCAGTTTCTTAGAGCAAATAAAAATATTGAATGGATAAGGACTTATACTAAATTATACAGTATGCTATAAGTATTTTGTCTATGTGACATGTAAATTGTTATACCTATTTACAGTTGATTTACAACTACTTACAGAACTAAACGGCTAACAATCATTTAACATTTATCTTACCCTATAAGTTTTATTCTCTTGTGGTTTTATCTGAATCCGGCAATGACTCGGTATTCGGTCGGTCAATTGAGAAAAAAATACGAAATTTAATAGTATAATGCCGATGTTTATTTTTCTTAGTCACTGCTAGTGTGAAGATTGTTTAAGTATGGGAATTACATTGTTTCTGAAATCTTGTCAATTCCATTCACTTGTGAATTTTTAAAATAGATGAATGAAAAGCCAACGCAAGAAAAAAGTAACATATCATATTTTTAGAAAGTTTTACAGAAGTTGGAGATCGCCAACTCACTTCGATTTTTTTGGTAGGCGCTTAGCAGAGAATCATTTATAATCCTCTATTTTAAAGCTTTTACTTACAGCCTTTTTATATTTTCTCTTATTAGTCTAAACGTTGAAGTTAGTTTTTTTAACTTTTATTAAAAGCCTGGGATGACATTAATTTTGGTACAATCAAGGAGAATTAATTTGCCTTATATAAATTTTTGTAACTAGATATCCTACTAGAACTTTTCCTTGCAGAAGAAAGAGCAATTTATTGCCTATCTTGAGTAAATTTTGAATACTTGAGCTTGATAAACATTTTTTTTTCATTATTATGTTATTATATGGCTTTTCATTGGCATTCGAATAAAATATTATTCCAATATACAACTTTTTTCCATAAATAATACAACCCAAGTAAGCTTTCTACATTAGTTATAATACAAGTGCTTATAGATAAGGAATACAACATTTGAGGCCGTATATTTATAATCTACATAAATATTTACAAATTATTTGGCTAAATAAATGCATTATTTCACAGTTTGCTTTTTAAAACTACTTAATCGATACACATTCATAATTATAATAACATCATAATAGGCATTATTTACTTATTTAATGATAACATATTACAGTTGTGGAGAATGTACAGATATATTAGGCTTACCATTTTATATTACAAATTATTTATATTCTTTTGCAAAGAAAAATGTTTCACTGAAGCTGTTATTTACACGAGAATATTAAAATAAATAATAGTACTACTTATCTTATATATTTTTAGGGAACTTTGCCCGATTCTCTTTGGATACAATAAGAACTTTTTTATGGGACTTCTACACAATATATTTACAAAACGTCCCTATAGTTTTACTAGCTTTGCGGCCGCCAAACGCTTATGACTCTAGTTATAAGGTACGACATTTTAACGATGTTATGGTAATAGTCAATTTCATTTTACTAGTAGATCTCCCTTTTTTGTTAACGCAGGACAAACACATCATAAGCCTTAAATCTGGACTCTCCAGTTTCTAGAACCCGTGATTAACCTAATTGATAAAACCAGCTGTAAAGTACCTTCATTTGTGGTTCTTGTCACTAGATCTCCAAATGTTTAATGTTACTAATTGATAGTTTTGTAGTTTAGTAACTGATAGTTTTGCTAGTAAACTGTTATGTTAACTGTTATAAGGTGTACCTAAGGTACCTCTGGCCAAGACTCGCGGCATAATAAGGTCTACTGTTGAAATTCCGTTCAAACTTCACTCAACGTAACGGATATGAATACATCCACATACATAGTGATTCAAGATGGAAAGCTGGTACAGGAATAAAAATAATAGTGTTTAACTAAATTTTGAGTAGCTCAGTGGCCCGCTATCGTTGTTGATAAGCAACTTTCGCAAGGGTCGGTCACAGAATGGGTTACCAACAAAAAATATTATCTCGAGCTATTTCGTGCTTCAGAAGGCACGTCAAGCCGTTGGTCCCGGCTGCGTTTGCAGTGGTTAATACCCACCAATCCGCGCTGGGCCAATGTGGAGAGTCGTGACCCATCCTCTTTAACCATCCATAAAGAAAACCCCTGCAAGGGAGACGTAAAAAGGCTGATGATGATGATGATGATGGTGGTGATGATGATGGTGGTGATGATGATGGTGGTGATGATGATGATGGTGGTGGTGGTGAAGGTGATGATGGTGGTGATGATTAATCATGATGAACTAATTTTTGTACATGTCCGCGAGCACTTTCTCCATTGGCGTGCGCCCTATAGTCTTGGCGAAGAACTCGGCCTCGAGGTGGTGCGGCGCGACGGCCCGCAGCAGCGGCAGCAGCAGCAGCAGGCGGCCGAAGCGCGCGGGCGCGGCGGCGTGCGCGGCGCGCGCGTGCGACATCAGCATCACCTGCGCCTGGTCCTGCAGGTTCTCTATCTGCAGGGGGTCCTTCAGGCCGCGCGTCTCTGTGTGCAACCAAATCAGACCAAACGTATGTAGTAAAAGACACATTTTACTGTCCAATAGGATTGTAGACAACATTTTTTTTATATATACACGTAGATATATATGTAATAAGTTAAAATCTAAAGAATAAATTTAGTTTTTGAAATTTCCCGCGAGCATGCCACCTTCTGTCATGGCGTCGCTATGACGTGACGGCACTCTGAAACGAATATCGTATCGTATCCTATGTATTGAAGCATTAGGTTGAATTCTCCAAGTTCTGATATGAGTAAGAGGGGCGTCACGTCAAGCGCTGTTTGCGGTCACGTGACAACGATCATAAAATATTTGTTTTTTTTTTCGTAATGAGGAAATATTTAAAATTAAAATCCCGAAATCAAATTAGATGTCGCTATGGTACGTTCTTGATTTCTCCATGACATCCTTTCCGGTTTACTTTCATGTTTAAAAGTAAATTATTTTTCGAAACTCAATAAACAACTCACATTCTATTTGTACTTTTTTATATTTGTATTGATAACTAAGTTTCGAACTTTTCAAATTTCAGTTTTTTAATATGTTAGTTAAACGGAACGGAAATTACTGTCTTTGGTCCATTTTGTTTCCTGCAAAAATCATCATTTGCTAGGGTCGCCATCTAGTGGAGGTGCTTTTTAGTGCTTTAGTGGATTCGTTTTTTTTTAATACTTCCTCATTAGTTTAAGTAATATTATAAACATAATAAGCATAAAAGTGTGATTATCGGTAATAATATAAACACTGCCAGAAAATATAAATAATATGTATTTATTTTAGTTTACTGTCTACATCCGTTTATTTAATATTATCATACTGATTCCAGTAATTTTATTAACTACCTGATTTGAAAAGAACTATAGCTTTCATACAGGCAAACTCCGCTGGATCCACTAAGACAGCACGGTACCGAGCGAGTACTTCACGTAATCTCCTCAGTACAGTAGAATTAAGACCGTTTTCTGATGACAAAAAAAATAGTACTTAATATAAATATTAGAAATCCGTAGGATTCAAATACTGTGTTGTATTAATTAACCGAAGAAAGGTAAAGCAACAGATTTCAAAAGTACTGCATGGAACCTTACCTTGATCAGTTTGGTCACTACCAAACAGAGCAGCACATGCAGTGTCGAGTGGTAGACACCATTGAATTGCATTCAGAAGAAACAACTCCGACCACGCTTCTTCCAACAGAATCACCTGTTAATTATGTATAAAATTCATTTTTATGTATTATTATGTATTTCGCAGCCAACTGTTTAAAATAGACACTTTAAGCTGCGCCATTGAAATACAAAGCCAAACCTCAATTAGCTAGGTAGCTGATAAAATAATTTCTAATTAGCTAAAAACACCAGTAATTGATGCTACCTTTTTAGAAAAATAAAATTGGCGCCGCAGCGCGGAGAAATCTACTTCAATGTTACAGCATAATGTCCTTTACATTATGCTGTAACATTGTAAAAGATGTAAAAGTAAAAGATTCTTTGACTTTTACTTTTACTTTGAACTACCACAATGATAACGACAAATTATTTTCTCAAACAATTTTTATGTCTTTCGCAAGATGTAATCCAATAGGCATTAGGTATCTATTTTTATTTAACTTTCAGATCAAGCAAGCAATGATATTGAGTATGTAGAGTATTACCTACCTGATCCCTAAAAGCGAGACTGGCAAACGAAGGTAGATTCTTGGCCCATTTGACTGCCATGAACAACAATCTCGCTGCTGTCTCTGCAGAGCTTTCAACACCTAATGGTCTGTACATATATAATATTTTAATTCTTTTGAGTATCAAAAAATAAACTTATGTTGCAGTTGGTGGACAAGCTATTTAATATTTTTTACGTTCCTTGAGATCATGGAGTAGACCCATGTTTAGGATACTAAAAACAAATTTTAGTGGATATTAAACAAAATAAGAGCAACGTCTGTGATAGTATTTTGTAATTTACCTGTAGGGAACACAGTTTTGTGTGTAGCTTGCGACTGAAGGAGGCGAGTACGATGTGGAATCTTCTTCGTTCGTCACGTCGATGCTGTCATCTGAGAACCACCAATATTTAATAAGAAACATTACGTATACAGGTACTATAGTACTGTGGCTGTTCCCCAAAAAGCCAAATTCATGTAAAACGATAAAGTTGTTTTATCTTTTTATTTCTGATATAATTTTAATACCTCTGAAAATATTTACTTAAGGCACTTATCAAGTCTCAGCTTAAGGAATTGATAGTAAAGTGTCTGCATAACTTATTAAAATCGTCAGGATTGAGTTCTAGCCGAGTTTTCGTTATCACCTTGTAAATTTGTCACTATTTATGTACCAGCTAATTATTAGAGACTCAATGTGTAGACTTAATTTTAAAATACAAAATGTAGTGCTGCTGCACTTACGGACATATAGTGAGACAGACAAGATAAATGTATGGAAAATACACAATATAAAATCTCAAATACGACTAAAGTAATTTACTAAAGTACTGGCAGACTTACCGTCGCTGTCAGTATTGTGGTTGATGTTGTCGTCGTTGTCTCGCGAAGAGTCTGGTTGTACTGGTGGCGGTGGTTGCGGCGGCAGTGCCGCGTAATGTGGCGATAGCAACGGATACCGCGCGGGGGATAACGCCATTGCTAACGATACCGGAGGCCTAGAACACCGTAACGACAGAAATAAAGTAACCAGTAACATTAAGTTGCAATTAAATTTAGTGACGGAAGATCGGTTAATCAAAGATTTCCTAGAAAACCCTTGCGCTGTAACTACTCTCACGATGAGTAAATATGTTTGTGACACGAATATGAAAATTTGTAGTGAATTCATATTGAGTAGGTAGTAACCTACTCTGTTTTTACGACTTCAAAAAAGAAGGTTGCGTATTTTTTCACACCTTCAAGGAATTGTGCCCGTGATATACCGACGCGTACCCTAAATTAAATATCTTAACAGATAAGGAAGTAATCCTACAAAGGTTCTGTTTCTAGGTTTCCATACCGAAAGAGTACAAACGAGACCCTGTATAGCATGAACCAATGAAAGCTAGATAGTAGAAAGATTGTGTATTTTCGTTCTATTGACTCTATAACAACAAAAACTGTATAATGTGTAGTGAGTAAATAAATACCTATCAATTATTTATGTTTTCAAACATCCTTACTATATATTTTACGATTATTGTGGCAGAGCAAATATGAACTCGTAGCTTAGCAGCGATAGCTCAAAAACAGAATAAGAGACATAAGAATAAACGTTTTTATTTTCATATATACAGGTACGAGTCTGACTCACACATGGCCGGTTTTTACTTTTGAGTTGCGGAAGTTAAAAAGATTTATTTACGAATTGGTGAATTTTTATAAAGAAGATCGTAACTTCACATTTTAACTGTGACAAAACCAATAGAAATATCATGTAGACATTTAAAATTATCTGGACGTTATTTCTTTGTACAAAACAATTGAAAGTTAGTTACTTTACGCGCCCTCTTAGTAAAATCCTTCCACAGAGCAACCCTTGCGTTAATGAGACATCAAAGGCATTAAGACCTCTGAACACCTTACCTGCTGAAGTAAATAAGAAGGATAGCCAAATATAACCCTCTATAGATACTGAATTGAGTCTCTTTTCTTTTGGCACCGTTCCAAAAAGGTTGTATACTATTTATCGTGTGTTAATTTAAGTATCTTTCACGGAAATTCCATAAATAGATGCCCCTTGGTTGACATCAGGCCAGCCGCGCGGATCAAGCCTCAATGCGTTGGATGATCAAAGGTGGCCACGGCTGACTGAGCTGACAGAGTGACCAAGGGCTTATAGTATTGCTAGAGTAATTTTTCGAATTGTTAGGAGGGAAAATCGAAACAGGAACGAAAGTAAATAGAAAAGCATGTAATGTATAGAGAGCCAGTTTTTTTTTTAAGTTATTGAGCTTAACGGCTCTTGATTCAAGTCCTTGTGTCATTCCTATATGGCTAGTAATGTTTCGTGCTGCTACTTTGAAAAAATATATCATTATCGCCAGCCTAACGTCCCTTCTGTTGGGGTACATAGCTTCCCTGTGGACGTCGAATACGTAGAAAGGTCTACGACCGCCACGTGGGCCCGGTGTGGATTGGTGTGTGTTTACAGCTGCTAATGCAGACAAGATCAAGGGCTTAACGGCTTCCAATGTACGGAAAAGATCGAAATATTAAATTTAATGCAACCATTGCTTAACTTTCTCACTATAAACCGAACGCGTTAACCAATGAAATAAAAATATTAAATTTTTTTTTTTTTTTTTGTAAATGTTGCCTAATTTTTATTAGGCATATGCAGGGCTCCTTATGGATGCTCTTCTCTTTCATATTTTTAAGCAAACAAAGTTTATTGGATGCTGCCGCAACTATGATGGCATGTAACAATTTAATATTTTGAATAACATATTTGTACACAATATTATGGCAAAAAAGCAATATATACTTAGTAAATTATTAAGAATATTCTCTAAAACAGCATTATGAATGCAAAATTTATCAAATATAATAAAACAATTAAATATTTTTATTAAGTAATGCCTTACATCCCTAATGATATTAAACATGTGAAAAGGTTTGCCACAACTGAGTATCGACAGTAGTCTAATGGGAAATATAATAACTGCATAAGCCACATCTTCACACTAGACAGCCTAGTGTTTTTTTGTGGGTCTGGATGTCAGTTACCTGTTAACACCAATGACTAGACGAATACGAATGAAACGTAAGTACCAAATGGATAGACGCGATTAAATTATATGAGTAAATATAATCAGACACAACCTTGCGAAAAATAGGTAATATTTCAAAAAGACAGAATTTAACCATTCCCTCGAACTATAAATATTATTTACATACAACAAATGATTTACTGGTACAACAGTAAGCACTACCCTGATTGAGGAGATTTGAATGCCAAATGCGCCCGCACTCCCCAATACGAGATATGAAAATAATATACCGAAAGTATAGGTACACGATGCGTTTTATTCTCATTGTCTACTCTATTCCGCAGTAGCAGGAAAATGTATTTTATTTAAACTAAATATGTGAAAGAGCTTTAACGCAATCAAATAGCACATAATTTAAATTAAAGAGTTTTTAATTTGGAGATTAACTATTTTACCAGAATATGGACTTAATTGGTGTATGTTTTTCTTTTTGATTCTTTATTACCTGTACTAATAGGTGTTGAATCTCGTTTTCTGTGTGTAGAAGCGTTCTTAACACAATCATAACAGAAAAATTCCCAAGGAGTTTCTTTATCGGTTCCATTTTCAAAAGTGTAGATAAAAATAAAAAGTAGAATGGATTCATTTTTTTTTGCTTAAGCATGTGTCCAATTCTACGTTGTTTTCAGGACACATTACCACTTTGACTTTTCTCTTGGAAACTTATCTCGTGAAGTTTCTTTGTGAAACGAATTCGACGATGCGGAACTGGGTGTTTCACTGAAAATCCTTTAGCATAGCCTTAAAGAGTCTATTTTGGTTTAATATGTATGCTATTTAAGTAGAAATTGTTATAATTCTATTGATAAAATGCCTACAACTTATTTTAAAAATACTTGAAAAAAGAAGGCAGACGGTTTCTTTTCAGGTGAAAATAAATAGCATTGAAAATACAAATTTTGTACTAATAACTATTATCTACAATTTTTTCTGACAGTCATTACATTACACGCACTTATAATTACAGAAAAAGACTTATTAATTTTTAACAGACTTCAGTATCAAAAAGGATGAAGTTATATGTTCGCCGGCGACGTTTTTTCATGTATATCCACCTATATTTGCACCAAACTTTAAATTTAAATTTGCTTTAAATTTAAATTTTAACGAATACGAACATATTTTTTTTCTATATTTTTTATTTTTCTTAATAAAAGTAATCACCCATGCAATCAATGCATCTCTGCCCATCACAATGAGAGCTCATTGATGCCGTTCTTGAAGAAATCAGTGGGCGGGAGGCAACGAAATCTTCAATGGCATTTTGTATCTCCTCTCGGGTATTTAATTTTATTCCCGCCAAGAAGTTATCCAAATTCTGGAAAAAGTAGAAGCCTGTATGCGCAAGGTCTGATGAGTACGGCGGATGACGAAGAACTTCCACACCCAGCTTGGTGACCATCTGCTGTGCAATATGAGGTCACGCGTTGTCGTGCAGAAGCCGAGGAGCCGAATGATTGACCAAAGCTGGTTGGAGATGTGCGAGCTTTTCCATCAATGTGTTCAGTTCTTCACAGTACACATCTGCAGTAATGCTCATCCCGTTTGGTAAAAAGCTTTGACCACCAAACCGTGAGCATAACTATTCTAGGGGTAAGTTTTCGTTTAGGGTATTGTTTTGGTGCTGAAGCAGGTGTATAACAATAAATTAAGAGAGATGGTGGAAGCCGATCCTAATCAAACTACCCAGGAATTAGCGGCATGGTTTAACGTTACCTAACCCACAATATTGACTCATTTACGTCAAATCAATAAAATAAAAAAAAAACGAAAAATGGGTGCCTTATGATTTGACTGATCTTCAGAAAGAAACGCGAGTTGAAACTTGTGTTGCCTTGTTGAATCGTTACAGAAATGAAGTAATATTGGATTGAATTGTGACATGTGATGAAAAGTGGATTCTTTATAATAACCGTAAAAGAAAAATGCAATGGCTTACCCCAGGTCAAACGCCATAATATCGTCCTAAAGCAAAACTTACCAATACAAAGGTGATGGTAACTGTTTAGTAGTCTCAGCGTGGTGTTATTCACAATAGTTTTCTCCGATCTGGTCAAGCAATAACAGCAGATGTCTATTGTGCCGAACTCCGAACAATGTTGGCAAAACTAGCAGTAAATCATCCTCGACTCATGAATCGATCTTCACCATTATTGCTGCATGACCACGCGAGACCTCATACAACACGAGAAACTGTTTTGACCCTTCAGGAACTGCAGTTAGAAACCATTCGCCATCCTCCGTATTCGCCAGACCTTGCACCAACAGACTACCATTTTTTCCGTGAGTTGGTCAATTATCTACGTGAGAATATAAAATCTTCGACAAATGTCACGACATTTTTTAACAAATAGTTGAGTTGACCGAGGATAAAAATACTCGCCCTAAGTCGCTTTTGAGATAAGTATTATTTAATACTTTTTGAAAGTTTGAAATAGGTTTTTCTTTTTGAAAAAAGTTCTTAATATATATAGTTAATTTGCTACTATAGTTAACGGTTATTGTAAGTCTCTTCAATTAGGTGTATTGTTATACGTTAAGCACGTACCGATTTTAACAATCAAATTCGCGATATTCATTGGTTTTCTAGCGATCGAGTTCGGCAGCTCGGTCAGTGAACTCTGTGATTGCTACTTAACAATAACTATCAATGTCGAGACTGCATGCCCTGGATGGTGAATTGATGCGGAAGGTAAGGTAATCTTTCGCAAGGGCCGTCTACAAGTATAGGTACCCAGAAATTCAATATCTCGAATTCTATATTAAGAGATAGAAAAAAAATCAGGAATACGATTGACAGTAATGAATGTAATATTTTAAAAAATGTGCATTAATTACAATTAATTTCTTATATAAGTAAGTATAAGTATAGGAACCATTTGTATTAGTAGATCTTACAGACAGGTCTCTGTACCTCCATGTAGGTCGAGTACTAACTCAAACTTCCGTAACATGCTCGAAGGAAGATTAAAATTAATGAATTTCAGATTTCATAAATAGCAAAGACGACTAAAAGTTGTGTAATACCTATATCGGCGTAATAAAATCAACAAATCAGTTATTAAAACATTGGTAGTTGGATATACACACCCAAAAACTCCCACTGCAACTGCGGCTTCCCGTAGAGCCCTCTCTTGGTCCATGTCCCGTAATGCTTCAGGCCTTATGGTCGCAGTATTCCGTGGCTGGCGTTCGTTCTGCACCGCTGGAAATACGTGAACTATGTTAGCCATATCTACGCAGCTGCTCGAAAAAGATAGTATACACGAATTTATCACGAAAAAATTTTAAACATAGTTTTAAAGAGGAAAAAAGAAACTTGGATCAAAAGAACACAGCATAAGAAAAATAGACGAAAAAATGAATTCGTGTAGTACAAATAGTTTTATAGTACTTAATATACTTTTAACCTTTGTATTTTATAGTCATAAAGTAAGTTTATTTTTAATAGTAAATATAAAGACTTCCGAGTGAAAGAACATGATTGATTATGATTGACCTAACAGCTGGCGATCGAGGGTTGTCAGTCGAAAAATATACTACATTTATTTTAAAACAATCTCTTAAAAAATTTTTTTTCAGACATGTGTATGCTATATATTCATATACTTATTATCAGGCTGTTTGAAGCATTGTTTGTTGTTGAAAAATAGATTTACTGTGGTTGTGCTACGTTATCAAGTAAAAACGAGACAGTGTAAAAGAATGATAATTATTTATTTATTCGAGGATATCAAATTTGAGATTAAGGCAGCATAGGTATATTTTATAAAACAATGATATTAAATTTAATCAATTACTACATTTAATAAACATGATTTATATCTAATGTAATTTCAATTACAGGAAGTATACCTATATTTTCTGATTCCATTTTTGTTGACCCTATCGTAGAGATCGTACCTGTCAAATCGTATACTCTCCGCAAAAATAAAACAATAGTCTTTCAGGCAACCCCCGCAGTCTACGAAGTTGCCCCCAAAGGGATCATTTGGCATTCTGCAAAATGTGGTAAGTGACAAAAATTATAATTATTATAAAATTATAATTGTACTGAGTTTTCTATAACTGAATACGTTATAGGTTTTGTTATTAAAGAATTAAAGTAAATAGTATCTTTTGCTAGATTATATTCAGTGTTCTAAATCACAAGATTATACTTGTAGAAAAACAAGCACACAAAATTACTCATTTGACATTTATCGACATAGTTCATATGTTTGATCATTAGCTGTGAATGAAACATAAGAAGTTTCCAGGATGCTTTGTTCTAAAACCAGTAGGAGTTAGTTTTACGATCTAACCACTAACTCTTGATTCATTCGTTCCTCTTTTAATTTTTCATCTTCCTTATACACCTAGCTTTGATCAATAGATTCTTCACTCTCGGAGGTACGAAATTGTAATCTAAAACATAAACTAAGGTCGAATTTCAGAAGATCTACTAACATAAAATTAAATTATTCGGACTTTGAAAGAAAATTTTGAATACCACATTCCTGAGCAAATTATGACAACATTCCATTATCACGTATTTTCGAAAGCTTTATTTCATAGCTATTTTTTTAAAGCAAAGATAAAATGTATTTCTGTTTAAAATTAAGACAAAGTTATTGACACTTATTTTACTTATGATACATTATGCCATGTAGCAATAAGGCCACCTTTTTGTATACTGTTTTTTTTCTTTTCTCAAACTGTGTAATTTGTAACTCGTGTGTGCAATAAAGTATATTATTAGTATCATTATTATTATTACAATTTAACAATCACGTGTAAGTAAAGTAAATTAAGTTATGGTGATATTCAATTAAAACTTTAATTTCGAATTTCACACCCCTTAAAACGTCAGTTACATGTTGTTTAGTGTCGGCAGCCGATCCCGCCCACCTCCCTGGGTGGTTCCAGATCCATTTGATTTTATTGCCTCGACGTCGAACGGGCACCTTTTACTGCTTAACTTTGCAGATACGTATGTAAGGGGGATATGTGAGATATACTGGATATATCGAATTAGGTATAACGTTTTATTGTTACTGTCAAAGTATTAAATTAAAGATTTTTCGATTAAAGATTATTAAATAAGTAACTACATATTTTTTTAGAGTTCTGTACCCGAGGATAAAACGAGGCCCTATTCCTGAACTCCATTGTCTGTCCGTCTGACTGTTTGTCTGTCCGTCCGTGATATTTAGTCCGAAATACCGTGATATTTAGACGGTTAAAATTTTCACAGATGATGAAATATATTTCTTCTGCCTTTATAACAATACTAAAAGAATAAAGTAAATATTGAAGGGGGCTCTCATACAACAGACATGATTTTATTTTCGTTTTATAGATGATAGTACGGATACATTGCGCGTGCGAGCGAATTCGGCTCCACAATGGCCTGTTATTTAAATAGTCAAACTGTGCTGGTGATTCATTTGTTATTCTATTTCACTATTTCTTATTTCAACAATGAATCAATGAATGTATTGAGTGACTTTTTACTATATACCTGATTTTGGTCTAGGTATATTTAACTTATTATAAATGGCGCATGTTATTGGGTTTTTCCGTACATCTGGAAATGCTAAAGTTCAAATATGTTTATTTTAAAACTTACTCATCCATGCTTAATTTGATAGCAGTCAATTATCAACTAATTCAAATATAAAAAATCACATGTCCATTATCAATATTTTTCAATAAATAACTAGATATGTTGTAAGGGATCACACTGCAAACACAGACGACACAACTATATCTGTAGGTTATATAATATCGTGTTTAAAGTAAATAAAATTGTCTATGATTTGACGTAGATCTATCTTCTTTTTTTCAGATGAGCATAGTTCTCTTCATGCGAATAGTAACTGCTATTTATATTATTGAACTCACACTGCTGCAGCTTACAGATACAATCAAACACAGAGAACGGGCCATCCACGATGCGGCCTCAGTTCGATTTGGTATTTACGACTGATGCAGCCTCCTTCCGAAGTACGGAGGAGCTAGAGATACTAAATTTTCGATCACCCATCCTATGACCTAGAGGCAAGATCGTAACCAACGAGGTTAATCCGAGGTGCAATTATTGCTAGCCTATACGAAAGTTGCTTTACCTCCACGCAGTCCGAATACGCTATTTATTGCCCCATGGAGTCACTCGCGCCATCGAAATCAAATACAGTTTATTGTATCTACGGTGTTGATTATGTTCATATCTATCTATTAGGCTCACGAACGAAAAAATTAAATAAATTGGAATATTGACCGTTGCATTACAATTCATATTTAATTGTGTACTTTTTGTCCGGAACAATGTTAATATGAATATCAAGCATAGTGACGTACACAAACTTAACACTAGAAATAAAATGCCTCCTTACATGTTACAGAAGGTATTAGGTACATTCATAGGTCAAGGTATACAGTACTTTAACAAGATCCCACCCAAGTAGCACAAAACACCATTATATTAAACTTTTAATAGCACGAGTCCAAGCGTTAAGCATTATAATAAAATAGTATATCAACCGTATTTCTTTTAAACGACTCTTATACGTAAAATTTGGGTCCCCCCTTTGTACGACTTTAAGCTTTATTAAAGCTGTGCAATAGCTACAACTTTTGTATAATAGCATTAATAAAGTTGGGTAAAAGCATTCTAATAGCCACAAAAAGTTCAATTAGCACCTTAAAGTGCTAATTGAACTTTTCGTGACTATATTACAATTGATATGCGTAAATCAAAATAATAATACGTTAATCTAATGTTATAAAAATGCTTACTGTTTTATTTCCTTTGTAAAAAAAGTATATTTAATAGATTTTAAAAATATATAATCGGTTTAAGTTATTGTTTTGTGTAAGTGTCATGACATGTTCTTTTGGCTGGTCTTTTAAGTTTTTTAAAATATTGATTTAAACAGCTCGTTATGTGTGAAATAAGCTGCAAACATCAGTTTGTGGAGTAAAATATACAAGTTTATGGTTTAAAATACACGCGCCTTCGCAAACTTCCTTTAATATAATAAAAATAATAGAAAATTTAACCTAGTAGCAAAAATTTTTGTTGAATTTTAGGCTTTTAGCATTGTTTTAACAACATAATTGCTTTTATAGGCATCTGTGCACAAAATAAATGATTATTTACCCCTTTTCATCTGACACAGTTGACTTTAAATATTTTGTAAGAATTGGAAAAAGAAAGCAAATGGCGACTCGTAAAATTAAAGCATTAGGTATTCAAATACAGTGTAGTAGAGCTGTTAATCGTATTATGGTTAGACACAAAACTAAGAGCTTGTAATTCACCGTATAACACACTCCCATTTTAGGTACAGCCGTATTTTAACACTTCAGAAGTATCTTATAGTGCTTATAATCATCAAACGATTATTTCATTTTTATTTTTATTTTTAAAAGCTTCAATTAAATTAGAATACTCTTTTTTCAGTTTTCTTTTATATCCACCTGTTTTCTTTGTTTTTCCCAACGTTTTTTGTCCATGGCGCCAGCGATGCGTATAAAATGCCACCATTACAATACAATACATAAAATAATTTTACATTTTAGTTTCACATAAAAAATAATTACGATCTATTTATTACTTGTATCTCTATAAATAACTTAATATTGATCAAAATATAGCCTAATGTTTTATAAAAGCATAGATTAAGAAGATAAAGGAGCTTGAGCTTGATTAAAGAATACTTTAAGAACAAATCGGTGCTAAAGTTTTACTAGTTCTTTATTCAATGTGGATATAGGATAAGCATTAAATCGATACAACCATAGGCCATTAGAAAACCTTTGTTTCTAGAAAATGACTAAATACAACTAAGTGCACTAAATAATATTACGTTAATGCTTATATAATATATAATGTTTTTCATATCACCGAAATACGATAACAGCTTTATATTAATATTACCCAATACTTAAATAGGAGTTTTGACATTGGTACACTTTTTTTATTAACCATAATATGGCATTAAGCATTATTAGATAAAATAATTGCCTTTAAACAGATTCGAAACTTGACCAGTGCTGATTAAAAATGTTAGTATGACTTTAGGACATTAATCGGTACTTATTTTAGTTAATATATTATTTATGTGCTACTTGGGCAGTGATGTTTTAGATTTGTCAATAAATCATTTTAAAAGGCGTATTAAAAATTGTCTACAAAGTATTGAAGAATATCTAAATGACAAAAAGGCACGGTGTTAGATATTTCAACCTAATGTGTCCTGCAGACATTAATGAATGTATTAGAACTAGCTTCCTTGATTTACTTCATAAGTTGAGTACCTAGAGTAGAGATCTGTGGTGGTATCGTGTGCGTCGGGTAGTTACGTTCCCTAAAATATGGTTGAGCGAAGTGATGGCTGGCTCATGCGACATGAACGGGTGCTGCCAGTGGACATGAGTCTGCTCTGGACTACTTTAATTTCGTCTATTTTCTTTGTTTATGAATACTGTATATTGAATTGTCAATGTGTATGTATGACTCGGCAACCGGCATATTAATCACTAATCGACAATATCTGTCTGTTATTTCTGATATTATAATGGAAAGTGACTTCATAGTCTAATGAAGTGACTTTTCAATAAGACTTCTCCGTGAGAAATAAAAGAGTCTCTTGCCAGTTCTTCTCAGTATAAGCTCTCCCGCCGTAGTTTTGCGAACCGTTGGCGTAGTTTTCGACTTTCATAAGTGCTATGTAACAGCCTAGACTGAGTAAACTATTTTGATTTGATGTTAGTCTATTCTAAACTACTTTTTTATTAGGTACTTTGTGAACGCAAACAAATATCTCAAAATCTTTAACTACGAACCGTACATAAATGTAAGGACATGTATCCTCTTACTGTAATAGGAAACGTTTTTTATTGCCATGTTTTTCGCTTTCGACCTCCCCTTTCCATTTATTTTATTGCCATGAATATAATGTTATAACTCGAATGTCTATATGAGCTTACAACCATGGAAATACGAATGAGA